TTAACAGGTTTTTAATATAAAGGACATGCCATCACTTTTGGTAATTTTGACATTTCTTCCCCTCCACCAGCCATGACAATTTACTTTAAAGAACTGCAGTCGTATTTACTTTGAAATTTATTGACAAACATGTCAAAAAAGCACTTCACAGAACATACTAGAAAGTGAATTAACTGTATTTTGGGCCAAAACGCAGCAGCCAGTTTGTGCACAGCAATGTCCCACAAAGAACTACAGAGTGAGTGATCAATTTTATTGGGGGATTTGTTAGCCAGGACACCAAGGTAAACTATTTTCAAAACTCTTTTAAACCTTTTTTCAAATACTGTATTGAATCTTTAACCTCCACCTGAACATACAGACAGAACCTTGGTTTAACATGTCAACCGAAGGACAACAACAACAACAACAAGATTCCATTTATAAAGCGCCTTTCACGTCAGGAGGACGTCCCAAGGCGCTGCACAGTTGGGTCATGACCCGAGCATTGGGGGGGAAATGGTCAGGGTGATGGGAGGGAGCGAGAAGGGGGAAGAGAGTCGAGAGGGGAGCTGAAGGCTCGGTCAAAGAGAACCATGTCCCAACCATGTCTGCAGTCTGTCTATGATTACAGTGGTGAGACATCACCTTGTTGACGAGTATCAACAAGATAATAATAATCCCTCCAAAAAAACCAAAAAACAATAATAAAAAAAAAATTGGGTCATTTTCAATCTACGACTGTTTGTGGGACATTGCTGTGCGCAATTGGCTGCCGCGTTCGCCCACAAATATACAGTCAATTCACTTTACAGTGTGTTCTGTGAAGCGCTTTGGGACGTCCTCCCGACGTGAAAAGCGCTATATCAAATGCAAGGATTATTATTATTATTATTATTATTAAAGGTTTTGAGACCGGCCTTGAAGGAGGAAAGGGAGGAGGCGGCGAAGGCACTGGGGGATAGAGTTCCAGAGCCTCGGGGCTGAGAGGCTGAAGGCCCGACCACCAATGGTAGGGCGATTGGGGCGGGGGATGTGGAGCAGACCGGAGCCGGAGGAACGGAGGGTACGGGCAGGTAGGTAGGGGGATAGTAGGTTGGAGAGGTAGGAGGGAGCGAGGCCATGAATGGCCTTGTAGGTGAGGATGAGGATCTTGAAATCAATCCTCTGGGGGATGGGGAGCCAGTGGAGGCGAGCGAGGGTGGGAGTGATGTGGTCCCGAAGCCTGGTGCGGGACAGTACACGAGCTGCAGAGTTCTGGATGACCTGCAGCTTGTGGAGGGAGGTGGCGGGAAGGCCGGCGAGGAGAGAGTTCCCATAGTCCAGCCTTGAGATGACAAAGGCACCTCCAACAATGCATTGGAGCATCAGCTTAGACAATGATTCCAAGTCCTGATGTGGAGCTTGAACTCAACAACTTTCTGACTCAGAGACTCTGAGCCAGGCTGACACGATGTAGGCACATTTCTAAGTGTAGAAAGAGCAACAGGAATGACATGATAGACAAAGACCTCAAATAAAAGACAATTAACTGAACAATGTTAGCAAGTAGGAAAGAGTTAGGGTGTGACTTATTTCATATTTAAAGGTAGCAAACATGTAAATCATCAGTGATTTAAAAACAAAATTATAGGTAAACGTGTAAGACCATAAGACCAGGAGTAGGCCATTTGGCCTCTCGAGCCTGCCCTGCCATTTAATAAGATCATGACTGATCTTCTAACCTAATCCCATTTACACCCCTAATCCCATATCCATTAATCTCTCTATCCTTTAGAAATCTATCAACCTCAGTCTTGAATATGTTCAAGGACTGAGCATCCACAGGTTCTGGGGTAGAAAATTCCATAAATTCACTACCCTCTGAATGAAGAAATGTTTCCTCAACTCTATGACCCCTAGCTTTAGATTCTCCACCCAGGGGAAACAGTCTCACGGCATCTATCCTGTCAAGACCCTTAAGAATCTTGTAGGTTTCTATAAGATCACCTCTAATTCTTCTATATTCTAGAGAATATAGGCCTAGTTTACTCAACCTATCCTCATAGGTCAACCCCCTCATCCCAGGAACCAACCAATTGAACCCCCTCTAAGGCGAGTATGTCCTTTCTGACTTAAGGAGACCAAACTTGCACACAGTATTCTAGGTGCGGTCTCACCAAGACCTTATACAACTGCAGCAAGACTTCCCTACTCTTGTACCCTAAACGTTTGCAACAAACGCAGCATGGCATTAGTCTTCCTAGTTGCTTGCTGTACCTGCATACTAACTTTTTGTGACTGGTGTACAAGGACACTCAAATCCCTCTGAACACTAACACTACCTAGTCTCTCCCCCTCCAGAAAATAATTCGCTTTTCTATTTTTACTACCTCGGTGAATAACTTCACACTTCCCCACATTATACTCCGTCTGCCACTTCTTGCTCACTCACCTAGCCTGTCTATTTCCCTTTGCATTCCTTTTGTGTCATCCTCACAGCTTCCTCTCCCTACTATCTTCCCAGTCTTTTTTAGCCTAATCTTCTCTCATACCTGCAAAGTTGGCTTTATTTAGATTTAAGACCCTTACTTCAGATTCAACTATATCACTCTAACTTAATGATAAATTCCATCATGTTATGGTCACTCTGCCCTAGAGGAGCCTTAACTTCAAGACTGCTGATTAGCCCTATTTCATTACACAAAATAAGATCTAGGATAGTCTGTTCTCTGGTTGGTTCCTCAGCATACTGTTCTAGAAAACTACCTCTAATGCATTCTATAAACTCATCCTCTAATTTACCTTTGGTAATTTGGTTTTCCCAGTCTTTATGAAGATTGAAATCACCCACTATTAGTGTATTCCCCTTGCTACATGCTCCTCTAATTTCCTGATTAATACCCTGCCCAATACTGTAACTGCTGTTTGGATCATCCCGTTCCTACTTCAAATTCTTCTCCAGCCCTGAAGAGAGATCCTTAACCCTAGCGCCAGCAAGGCAACAGTCTTCGTAACTCATGGCTGCAGCTGCAGAAAAGCGTGTCTGTCCGCCTGACTGTCTCATCCCCTATCACGACTTCCGTTTTGCTCCCCCCACTTGTGTGGCTTCTGTATAGAGGTGCTGGGGTCAGTTTGCCCATCCTCCTCCTTACAGACTTCCTTGTCCACACAGGTTGCAAGTACCTCGTACCTGTTGGACAAGGTTAAGGCCTGAGGCTTCTCCACCACTCTCTCTGGGGTCCCCTTACCTGCCTGACTGTCAGTCACACTGTCCTGTCCCTGACTAGTAGCAGGATCTATACATTTACTGAGCCTCAGGGGAGTGATCGTCTCCTGGATGAAACTATCCAGGAAGCTCTCACCTTCCATAATGTTGCGCAATGTCTGCAGCTCGGATTCCAGCTCAGCTACTCTAAGATGGATCTTCCTCAGTTGCAGACACTTGCTGCAGATGTAGTCATACGGGCTCAGGCTGCCCTCCATCAACTCCCACATACTGCAGTCACCGACAACACCTGCCATGCCATTCTCTCCTCTCTCTCTCACTCTAGATTATGCTTTTTATTTAAGTTTTTTTTAAAAAGTTTTTTTTCTGGTTCTGTCTTTTGAGTGCGACATCACGTTGATGTCTCTTGTCGTTTTTCTGCAGATACTCACTCCGCCCTCCGAGTCAGCGACTGCTTACCTCGGCTAGGCTTTATACATCCTCTATGCCTCCCTGCGCTGTCCTGGCTCCAACCTCCGAATTTATACAAAGATGTTTTATGGTCTTAAGTACAACAGTAAAGTTATTGATATTAAATACAATTTATATTTCTATAGTACCTTTCACATCGAGAGGACATCTCAAAGTACTTAATACAACAAGCTGGGATCCCAAGCCAAGTTGGGGAGAGGAAGGGAAGCTGAAGGCACCATCAAAGATGCAATTCATCCAGAAGTAACTCACATAATCGCCTCATAACAAGAAACCTCAGAAAGCCAGTTGTATGCCATTTCAAAAGCTAGCACCTTTCATCAACTATTAAGTTGTATCTTTTGGTTTACTAACTACTAGAAATGTTACATAAGTTACCCTGTACTTTGCTTTATTTGTTTGGTGTGAACCACAAAAGAAATACAGCATTGACTACTGTGTATGACCAGAAATAACCTTAAAAAAGGTACATATCTGAACCCAAGATCTGCATTACAAACAAAAAAGAAGTCGCAGGGAACACTCGGCAGGTCAGACAACATCTATGGAGAAAGGAAAGTAAATCAACTTTTCGGGTCCATGACCCCTCGTCAGAACGGTTCTGATGAAGGGCAGTGGACCCGAAACGTTGACTCACTTTCCTTTCTCCTTAGATGCTGCCTGACCTGCTGAGTGTTCGCAGCGACTTCTGTTTTTGTTTCAGATTTCCAGCATTTGCAGTTCTGCATTTCAATTATGTTTACCCACAGTCAATCCATTTTACAGTATTTCCTGTGAAGAGCTTTCAAACATCTCGACCACATGATAAGGTGCTATACCAAATGCAAGGATTATTATTATCTCATGGTCAATGATGAAACATGAGCATTAAAAATGTATGAAAAATATTTAATTCATTCATAGAAATATTTTACAGTTGGGAATACAATCACTCTTTGAATTAAAGTTTTGCTAAAGCTGCTCATTTTGGTGAAACCCGACAACAAATATTGCAGATTGTATTATTAAAGCATTGATTGCAAGAGCATCTTGAATAACATTGAAAAGCAAACATATGATTTACATATTCTCTACTCATACCAATTTGATGCTTTATTGAGTGGAATTATAAATCAGGTTTCCTGCTCCATATTGCTGGGCATTATGCAACTGAACTCTAACAGTATAAAGGTGCTATACAAATGTAATTCTATATTGTATAACTAAAGAATTACTTTGTAAAATGTTAGTCACAAAATGACATTCAAAGTACATTGTGTTAGAGTACAAAAGTGGAACTGCTGCCTTGGTTCTATTGGTAATATTGTGTTTATATGTATCTGCAGAATTTATTTTACCATACCTGCTCGAGAAGGACAGCAAATTGGAGAATTGCTGTAGGCATTTAGAAAAACAGCACCACGATCTTTCATGAAATTTATGTTGGGAAGTTCAATTGTTTGGTTCTTTGGGGCAAACGTCAACCTTCCATCCTAGAATATTACAAATAGCAAATATTACAAAAACTGAATATGATAATAATCCTTGCACTTGATATAGCATCTTTCACACTAGGAGGTCAACTCAAAAAGCATTTCACAGAATATAATGCAGTGAGACTTTCAACTGAGATGCCGTCCACCTTTTCAGGTGGCTGCTAAAAGTACAAAACCCTTGTTCTTACCTTCAAGGCCGTCCACAGTCTTGCACCCCCTAACCTCTCCGACCTCGTAACACCATATCAGCCTTTCCGCCCCCTCCGCTTGGCAGACACCGGCCTGCTTCAGTTCCACCACACTTCCTGCCCCACCATTGGCGTTCAGGCAGACAGCATCTCTGCCCCCAGATTCTGGAACTCTATCCCGCAATCACCCCCTCTCTTGCCTTCAATTCCCGTCTGAAGACCCTCCTCCTCGATCGTGCCTTTGGCCACTCTCCCACCCCTCCTGACCCCAACTTGGGACCAAAACCCCTGATTGTCCAGCGGCCCGGGACGTCTTTCGGACGTGAAGGGCGCTATACAAGTGTTAGTTTGTTGTTGTAGTAAACGATCCCGTGACAGAATTTGGAAAGGAGCTTCTCCCCAGCTTCCTGACCAACAATCCTCCAAATGGGTTGGGTCATTCGCGGGACCTCGCCACGCGTGCACACATCCGCTGCTTTGTTTGCCCACAATTACATAATCACCGCAATTGGCAGAAAGATTTTAAGGTTGTGGGCACGTTAGCCGTTAGATTAAATGGAAGTATTATGAAATTCGGAAGTCCTACTTCTCTCGAAGGCGGTTCCTGTTCTCAAACCCCACCCCCCCCGCCCCCACAACTTGGTCCGGATCTGCAATTTAGTCAAGTGGCAATTACATTTCACCCCTTTCAGGCAGAGAGGGAGGGAGGGAGGAGGGAGGGGAGGCACAGGGCAACTCGAGACTAGAAATGTAGTATCTGGTGCCAAGTCAGGTGCCAGACTCACTGAGCTGCCAGTACGGCGCAAACACACTGCCAAGACAACAACCAAGAAACTTCCAAGCAACGATGACAACAATACATCTTTTCATTTGATATATCGCCTCATCTCATCGTCGAGGTGTCAGGGCAACTTTAAAAGATGTCAGTGTTCAGTGCTGCGTCTGCATCTGTCCCTAGTCCCAACGTCAAAGCTCTTGCCAAACACACTGCTGAGCACCGAGCGGGGAACACACCACCCACTGTTCCCTGCGGAGCCTCCCATCCTCCCAGGTCTCCGGACGTCAAAAAGCGCTCTTACCAGCGAGTCGCAGGTCACCAGCACCACGTTAGCGCCGCCGCCATGGGGCCACCTGCCGTCTGCCTGCGGCGCCACCGAGAAGCACAGCGCGAGGGCAACCGTTACGGCGGTTGCGGTTTGACCGTTCAAACTCTTTGCCATCTCGCGCTCCAGCCCAGCCGCCAGCGCCGCACTACATCTCCCGGCACGCACCGCGGGGAGCGCCAGGAGCGAAAACACCACTATCACGTGCAGCGCTCCGACAAGGCGGATTGAGGGCGAGAGGCAGGAGCTCTGCGATTCGTGGATAGTAAAGAGTTAGGTTGAGGTTGAGATGGGCTTGGGTCGCATTGGCCCTCGTCACGTGGTTGCGACGTGTGTCGGGTACCGTGGAGGCTGCCGGGATTGTAGCCGGAGCCGGAGAGACGAAAACGATGGCTGCCGATGCCGCCGCCGCCGGGTTTCCTCTCGTTTATTAAACGGTAAACGTACAGCAGAGCCGCGGGCAAGACTGCAGCCAAGGGAGGACCATTGTTTAAATCAGTGATTTTTAGGTTATGTTAAAAAAAAAAAAATTTTAAAAACAAAAGGGAGTCAATGTCGGGCGTATTGTTGGTGGAGCGGGGCCGGGGTTTATGTTTAATTTAACATCGCTGCCCGACACAGCCCTCTTCCCCCTCTCTCCCCTCCTCTCCGCAGCGGCTCTCCTACTTCGTAAAAGTTAACTCTGGCCGCCTGACAGCTTCGGGGGGTGGGCGGTGGTTGTCGTTGTTGTTCGGGAGGGCAGTGCCGCCCAAGGCCGTCGGTTAAAGGGAAAGCGTCCAGGGAGCGAATTCCTTTTTTTTTAACACGAACGGACGCCGTCGCCACATTTGCTCAGCAAATTTCCTTCCAAGTGAAAGGGGCTGATCCTTGTCCTCCTCCCCCCTCCCCCCCCAATCGTCTGTGGCCTTTTAGTTGTACTGCGCCGGGCCTCCGTGCGAAGCCATTCCGAGTTTAAAATGATATGGGGGTTTTGCAGCAAAGCAGAGCTGTGCTGTCACCTCGAGGTGATTTCCCGATTCCTCTTCCCTGTTGAGAGGCCGTCAGTGTGTCACCGAATGCGTAACGGTACTGAGCAGCTCTTGAATGTCGTCCTGGATAAAGGCATCTGAGGTTGGAGGAGTGCGCAGAGATCAGTGGCCAAAAGGGATACGATTTTCAGTCAGGATTGTTGCCAGATCTCGCCGGGGCCGCAGAGCCTGTGCTACAACAGGCATTAGGACCTGTGAGAAAGAAGCAAATAATTAAAGGTCCCTGAATATAAATATAAATATAAAAAATTATATAAATATAAATAACCAGGAAATGCGGTATATTCTCCAATAACTTCAATCGCTCTCTCGTGTTCTTGAACAGATATTTGCCTATTCCATTCTACGCATTTACTGTTTTGGTTCATACATTTCAGAATGGATCATTTGGTGAGGTATGAGAGGGTTGCCAGTTGCTAAAGAACCATTGCAACTGAAAAATACTAATTGAGGAGGAGGTGGGGACACATTGGCAAAGATTAGGTCTGAGAGGCATTTATGATAGAGTATCTTTAAGAATCAATCAAAATGCGTATCATACGCTTAATTAAGTTAACTATGGAATCCCGTAGCATAGCGGTTTTCACTTTTGCCTCACAAAGTGAGAGGACCTGGGTTAGATTCCCCGGCGGGCCATAACCTTAGGCAAGTTTCCTTACTCCACACACCTCTTGTTTACCTAACAGTAAGTAGGAACCTGGTTGTTAGTAGATCGGCAGATTGCTTTCCGGGGGTAATAATCCCTCAAAAAAAAATTGGTCATTCAATCCGTGATTGTTTGTTGAATACTGCTGTGTGCAATTGACTGCTGTGTTTCGCACACAACATACACAATCCACTTCACAATATATTCTGTGAAGCGTTTAGAGACGTCTCAGTGACGTGATGAGGCACTATATCAAATGCAAGGATTATTTTTCATTATAAAATCAATATAATTTTAGAAAATCATGGTATGGATCATGTCATTATCCCAACCGAATGCTGACAAAGGTCTAAATGCTTGGCACCTAGTGGGAGAATGCCTGATTTACTGCTTTGGATTGGGGATGAAGGGAAGATACATTTTCTGGAGTGAAGCTGGCTAGGTTAGGAAAATGATGAAAGATGAATATCGGAGATTTTATTTGGGTATCCAGAACCTTTCCTCAGGATACAGTGAATGGGATCTAGTTCTTGATGGCCTGTGGAATGAGCAGGTATGATGAAAGCTCAATGTCCTCCTCTAATACCATACTTTGTGTGTAAAAACAAAAAAAACTGGGTAAATTGAGGAAATATAAATGCTGCTGGTACTTTATAAAATTTTAGTGGTGTGCCTCCTGTGACCATCATCCTACAACATAGTGGAGTATAAGTGACGAAAAACCATGTTTTGTTTTTGTTAATAAACTATTATACCTTGGAAACCTTATCTTGATGTGGGAATCCATAATGGCCGAGGTGCCTTGTACGTTTTTCTTTTTCCAGCCTGCATTGTACATTGTAATTACATTCTTTCATTGTAAGGTATTGTGATGTTGCAAATGCACTAAACAAATTATTATTCTATCAAGTGCTTTTTTAAGTTGCAATATAATAATTTTATTGCATTGGATATTACACCTTTCATATCAGGTAGACATCTCACAGAGCTTCACCAAATTTACTGCAAAGTGATGTAATTGTGTATTTTGTAAATGAATACAGCAGCCAATTTGCACTTAAGGTCTCAAGACCTTTCTCTTTGACCGTGCCTTCAGCTCCCCTCTCGACTCTCTACTCACTCCTCGCTCCCTCCCTTCCCTCCCCTCACCCTGACCATTTGCCCCCTGCTCGGGTCCCGACCCAACTGTCCAGCGCCTTGGAACGTCCTCCCGACGTGAAAGCGCTCTATAAATGAAATGTTGTTGTTAGCAAAGTTCCACAAACAGTCATGAAGTGAATAACAAATTTTATTTGAGTATTGTTGGGCCAGGACACTATGGAAAATCTCTTTTCCTTTCATCCACTACCAAGGGGTCTGCTACGTCCATCTGAACAGGGAGACTAGATTTTGGTTTAATGCCTCATTCGAAGGGGACACGTTGAACAATGCAACAAACCCCCAGCAAATCATTGGAGTGTCAGCCTAGAGTTCAGGTACGAAGTCCTAGTGTATAGCTTGAACCCACAACCTTCTGATTCGAAGGCAAGTGTGCTACCACCTGAGCCAGGCTGATGATGCTTTGTATCAGATGCAGTTAAATTTAGCCATAAGGCTGGTATATGTTAATGTAATATATTGTGTAATAATTCTTATTTTGTATGTTACAGTGAAAATGTCCAGTAAAGAAGTGAAGATCGTCTTAAAAAGTGCAAGAGAAGCTATCAGAAATAAAGAATATAAAGAAGCCCTGAAGCATTGCAAGGTACTGGAAGGCAATTGTCAGCTATTTTCTGTAATGGGATTAATTTAAATTGCCTGAACACTGTATTTCTTTCTAACTGAGCCAAACTTGTACAGAAGTTGCATCTGTAGAGCTGGATTTCGTGAATATTTATATGCTTATAACTTTGTATCCTGTAAAACAAAATGTAAACAGCTATTTTGAATCTTATTGAATTACAGTAATTGGATCTGTCTTTCTTCAAAATTTGATGGAAGTATAACCAAACTATCCCCATAAAGAATATCTAATAAAATGTTAAGAGGAGTAGAAGAGCAAAGACCCTAGAAGTTGATATAAATCACTTGCTAAAGGTGAGAGGCAGATGGACACAGTTAATGAGATCTTAGCTTTTATGAATAGGGGCATAGAATATATAAAACCAGAAGTTATGCTTAACCTGATCTGCCACACAAATTATCTTTCCCCAAAGCCATTCATAATCTATAGAATGAAAAATAGCCTCATTTCCCAGTATAGGCTGGGGAATATTTCACTTTTCCGGTGTGGGTGCTTGTTGTTTACTTGAAACCCTAATAAAGAAATTATTATTCTATTATTAGGATCAAGTATAATACAATTTGATTATACTTTGATGCTATACATTTTGTTTGTATATTCACTATATTTTGTTGCAAAATAAAATTCCCCTTCTCTGCCTAAGTAATTTATCTCAATTCTAAGCTTAGATGATCATTTCCTACTGCAGCATCGTATTCCCCTCACATCACCGTTTTGAACACCAATGGTTTCTGCAGTATCTTCGAGTTATCTTTATATTTTCACATGAAGAAAGCAACTTGATGCTATGATTGGGGAATGGCAGGGTGGGTGTTCTGGAAGGATAAGATCAGATGGGGTGAAGGGATTTCTTCATCCAAATAAATCTTGTGATCTTGTGAAAGCAATGCCTTAAGAATGTGTCCAAACTTAGTTCAAAACATCCAGAGTAACGCTTCTTTCTGAACTATTACTGCTTGCTTTTTTCTAATTGAATAGGCCGTGTTGAAACAAGACAAGAATAACTACAATGCATGGGTTTTTATTGGGGTCGCTGCAGCAGAACTGGAGCAGCTTGATCAGGCAAAGACTGCTTATAAAAAGGCTGCAGAATTGGAACCAGACCAGTTACTAGCATGGCAGGTACATTTGTGTCATAAAATCATGTTCTCATACATAGTTATAGATTTTAGATGAGAAATGTTTTATTTTAGAAAATACATAAAGGCATAAACTGCAAATTGTGCCCTGAAGCAAACAACAAGATTCCATTTATAGAGCGCCTTTCACGTCGGGAGGACGTCCCAAGGCGCTGGACAATTGGATCATAATGGTGTACTTGCAAAGTACAGTGTCAAATAACCTCAGGCCTGTACCTACTTAGCATTTCAGGGATAAATGACTTGTGGTCTTATCTTACATATATCAGCAGCTGTGTTTTTTAGATATTTCTATACATATTTTAAAATATAAAAGTTGTTTCATTGTCACCACCTGGTGGCTATTTTTGCACAGTGGTTTATTTTTCTACATTATGACATCATAAACTTTCATTAAACTAATTCAATGTTTTAAAGCCTGATTTTAATATAGTCACTTTCAGTAATATCCCTTCATTGCATTTTGATTGCCAGTATCAAGTGCAACTAGAAAACATTCTAATCAAAATAAACTACTGTTTTCCTGACAAATAACATCCTGTTCGTACTTAATGAGAAAGAGAAAAAATATTCAAACATTAGTCTCATCAGTAGTCTCGTAGTTTTCAACAAATAAAAATTGATTAGTAGAATTTATATTCTCTTTAAATTTCAACATTTTTTTTATGCACTGAATGGGATAATTAAATTAAGTTAAATGTGATTTTTTTTAATTTCAGGGATTGGTAAACCTATACGAGAAGAACAATCTATCTGATTGCAAGCATGATCTATTAGCAATTTACCAAAAACTCCTGAAACTGTATGAAAGGTAAGCTGCTAGAGTTTATTGTACAAGCACGCATAAATAAAAGTGCAATAATCCAGTCTTGCATATTTCAATATTCTTAGGCTCTGTTTACCTAGCTATAAGTAGGAACCCAGTTGTTAGTCGATTGGTGGATCACTTTCCGGCAGTACTAAGCCCTTTTAAATTTTTTAAAAAAAAAACTCTTGTGGACACCTGCTGTGCGTAACTAGCTACCACATTTCATCCACAAAATATACAGTAAATTTACTTTACAGTATATTCTGTGAAGCCCTTTTAGACGTCTCAATGACAGGATAAGGCTCTCTATCAAATGAGGATTAGTGTTGTAAGCTTTTTAAAATTGTATTGTGGCCAAGGATGGTGAATGTCTAGATTCTTGCTGCAACCTTGGTTTTCAGATTGTTTATTGTGATGGGCATTAGACATACAGTATCATACACAAGAAAGACCTTTTGTTCTCGCATATTAACGTGTCATAATGCACACAATAGTAGTAGTGAACAGACATATTAGGCTGCAGAGCTTTTATTGCAGGTAGGAGCAGTGGGGTGTCCAAAAATAGAAAGGGCAGTGACCAGAAACCATGTGAGTTTATGTGCCCAGGTGACATCAGGAGCTGATTAGTGATAACTAAAAGGTTTGCCTTTCTTAAATTCTGTATGTACTATATTGTAAACCAATTGGAAGAATTCCTTTATCTTCAGTATGCAGTGATTCAAGCATCTCTCAGAAGATTCACAAACAACATGCTGTTTCCATTCTTGTGATTTCATGAAAGTCAATTGACTGTTCTGGAAGAGCAGTGTATTGGCCAAATGCTGATGTTGAGAATTAGTTTGATTAAACCAAGGATGCGAGGTTATAATTCATTGTAGAAACTTGAAAATTTGGAACCTTTGTTGCTGGAACAGAAGATTAAGGAGAAGCTAGTCAAGGTTTTTTAATTATGGAATGGTGTACCATCACCAAAAAAAGTGACTGTTTTTATTGAGTAAACAAGGGGGTATATATTTCACTAATACCTATCTCATAAATCAATATTCTGCAACAGTAGTTCAGTCAAATAGTCAAAAATTATTAAAATCTGGGATCTTTACCATGTATATGTGTTGAAGCCAAGTCCAAAACCTCACTTTCTTCAAAGAGAATTGAAGAAATATTTGGATGAAAAATTATATTAAACAGAATGGGCAGGGGGACAGGATTGTAATATATGGATAGCTATAGTGGAGGTATGAGTTTAAAATTGACCTAACATAATTGTATAATTTTTAAAATCATGTAATGATTATTCCAATTATTTCTGTTTTGTAGCACTGAAAAACAGAAATGGTATGAAGTCTGCCAAAAGTTAGTTGATTTATATCATCAAGAAGAGAAGCCTCTAGAGGTATGTATGCAGAAACTTCAAAAGAATAGAAACCATTTTGTCCTCGCTTTTGTCCGCGCTGCGAGCGGCTCCAGGATGGAGATGGGAGGAATCACATTGTGATTGATTGACAGTAGACTCCAGCCATTCATAAGCAGCTGGAGTTGGGCTATCAATCAATGAGGGAGCAGAGGACCGGGGAAGAAACAAGGGAGGGAATAGGAGGAGTCAAATCACAATTGATTGATACCTGGAGCTGTTTGTGAATGGGTGGAGCCATCCATTCACAAGCGGCTGCGGGCCGTCAGTCACCTCAGAGATGCCGCTAATTAGTCCCTTTCCCATCCAATGGGGACAGCAATGGGTGGGAAGAAGTAATTGAAGTTCGGTTACCCACCAATGTTGCTTAAGCCAGACAAAACTGGCGGTCACGATGTGTCATGCTATACGGGCTTCTGCTCCAGTTCAATTTAGTTTGTTAAAATAACTGTTGAAAGTGTTTGAAGGGTCAATTTTTTGTCCTCCTTTTGCACAGGCTGCTAAAACATGGAGGCGCTTAATACAGATGAAACAAGATGATGGAGTTGGTAAGGAAGAACTGCATCAACTGTGGAAGAAGATAATTGAGATACTTTCAGACAATATAGAGAATCAGGATAATGGGAGCCAAGAAATGGTAAACAAAAACACCTTGCATATATCGAGATGCACCAGTACAGCATTAATATCTAGTGACTATTGTGTCGTGATACGAGGCAGAGAAGTGTTTCTTTTAATTGTTAGTTGCAATGCAAGTACTTGCAGTTTATGAAATTGAACCACCCTAGCAAAATACATTTTTTTTTCTTTCTGTATTTCCTTATTTCTGTGATTTGTTTTTTTTGTTAAGCTGAGCTCTGTATTGATGATCTCTTTGGGGAATTTTTCAAATGAGACCAATGAACTGCTTTGGGGGCAATGAAACTAAATCCACATAGTTAACTTAGAATTTGAATGAATTCTCTTTAGATTTAAAGACCAAATGAGTAATATATTTACTATTTGCCTAAGGTAGTAAAGATAAATATGTTGTAAAAACATACATTCCTTTTGCAGGGTGAATTCAATCTGTTGAGTTCCTCACTTTGATTGAGAGGCTAGAAGGGAACCTGCTCACAGTTCTCTTCCAAATCTACTCTTGATGTGCTACTATGAAGTACACAAGGTCAGCCACAGGCAATGAATGCTCCCTCTCATTCCGTAAGAGGGTAACATAACATAAGAACATAAGAAATGCAAGATGAAAAAAGACCAAGGTCCACCTAGTTCATCTTCCAGGCATTCGCATGCACATATGTCCCAAACTGTGTTTGAAAGAATCAACACTTCCTGCTTCAACCTTAGGGAGCCTGTTCCACAAGTTCACTATTCGCTCACTGAAATAGTGTTTGCATAGATTTGTTCTGAATTTTCCCCCCTTCAAGCGTAGGCCGTGTGCTCTAGTTTTACGATTCTGGATAAGTTGAACCAGCTTGTCATGATGTATATTGTCTTACAACTTTGAAATCTTAAAGACAGTAATCATGTCACCTCTCAATCTTCTCTTTTCCAGTGTGAACATGCCCAATTTACGTAGTCGCTCCTCATAGTCCGTTCCTTCCAATCCCTCAATCATTTTGGTTGCTCTCCTCTGTATTTTCTCGATTTCTCCAATATCCTTTTTGTACTGCATCGGCCAGAACTGTACACAAGACGCTAAGTATGATCTCACCAATAATTTAACCAGTAGCAGGATTACCCCACTATTTAGGCTTGCTATCAGTCTATTGATACATCTCAACATCTGGTTTGCTTTACTCACTGCCACAGAGGATTTTTGGGAGAGTTTCAATTTATTGTCAATCAGGACCCCCGGGTCCTCTTAATTTTCCATACATATTATTTTCCTTCTGTTCAAATTATAGTCCCTTCCAGGATTTTTTGTCCCCATGTGAAGTACTCTATTTCTCCACATTGAATTTGATCTGACACTGATCTGCCCAGTTCCCAAGTGTATTCAAATCCTCCTGTTGTTCAGTAATTCTGTGATTAGATTGAATGGGTTTCACCCACAAAATATACAGTCAATTCACTTTACAGTATATTCTGGGAAGCGTTTTGAGACGTCTCAAAGACGTAATAAGGCGCTATATCAAATGGAAGTATTATTATCCTTGACTGTCCAGTACCTTGGGAAGACCTCCCAACATGAAAAGCGCTATACAAATGTAATTTCTTGGTGTTGTTTTATGTTGGTATGGGTGCCTCAATCTAATAATACGTTATTGTTTCTTGTGATTTTATCAGTTCTTGCTCTCTTCCCCCTCAAAAAATTGAATATAAAAAGCAATAGAATATTAATTCTAACGATGTGTGGGTATATGTGTGCATAGATACATATATCTATATAATGAAAATGATTAGTTATTTTAATAGCACATTTTAAGGTTTACATTGCTATTTCTTCACAATGCATTACTAATTCTTAATATTTCTTTCTGTAGTTAAGAACAACATTTGAAAATGCTCTTTCTTCCCTGGACAAGATACCAAGTGATGAACATCAAAAGCTTTCCATTGAATACATTAAATTTTTAGCGAAAGTAAGATTATTAAAAAATGTTTTATACAGTACTATAGAAAAAATAAAAATTGCTTTGATGCTAATTATAGCCCTCACTCAGAGAAATTTGTATTGCACATGTGTGAGCATGATTTTTACTTTACATTATGATTATCTTGAAATTTAACTTGGGTAACTTGTATGTTTCTTTGAGATAACATTTCTCAGTTTTTGAGAATGAAACTAATGTGTATATTTTTAAACATTTTTGTTCTAGCTGCCACGGGAAGAAGACAAGCTGAAAGTAACCTGTGAGACGTTGATTACTCAGTATCCCAATTCATTTACTCCACTCGAAGTGCTCAGCATGTACTTCATCCATACAGGTAGTTTAGTCTCATTTGGGACATTCTGATAGCTGTAAAATCTTAATTTATTTGACTGTTGAAGCCTGTTAGTTGAGTGGAGTTGCCACAGCAAATCTGGAGCATGTTGTGTTCTCACACAATAATGGTTAGAAGAGAAGATGGAAAAATTTACACTGTTCCGAGAGATATGGCTAAAGAGCATTGTTAAGAAGCCCTTAATCTGCATCTCTCTGTCTATAGTGATTTAAGAACGCTAGATTGTGACATTGAGTATGAAAAATGGAGAAGAACTCTATTCTCTAACAGTGGCCCAATTCAATTGCTCAGTTCACGAATAAAGCATCATAATACTGTACTTGCTGCACCTCATTACTTTTCTGCTCATTGCCTCTAAAATCTTTCATATTGTCATTCCTCACTTCAGGAGCAGGTAGACGCAACATATTTTCTGATATAACTAACCAGTTAGTAGTATCAACTTCAGATTCTTATAAAATGGCTGACGGGATTTGACTGACTTACGAATTGTTGCTTTCCATTCAACCACCTCACCTATCAATGCACCTACATTTTGACTTGTTGCTTAACATATTGTGCTCAAACTTAACGTTTGATTTGACCCTCAGCTCTCCTTCCTCTTAGACTACTTATCAAGACAATTGTTTTGTAATTTCGCCGCATCATATTGTCTGCCTTCATCCCTATCTTAATCCCAATGTTACTGAAACCCTCATCTTATACCTTCATCACCTCTAAATTCGACATCTCAAATGTAAAGCTCCCCATAACATTGCTGTACACGAAGGGCTTCATATAAATGCAAGTTGTTTCATCCATTTAATAGTCTGCATTACTAAAATAGTACCTTTTCCTTAAACAGACTGCATTAGTGAAGAAGCGGTGGAATGTTTTACAAGACTTAATAAGATGGAACCAAATAATGGGCCTAGCCTTATTGGACTTGGAATAAAAGCAATGCAAGAAAAAAAATATGAAGAAGCAGCAAAGAGCATTACTGAAGGTATTTCTCTGAGAGCAAAGCTCAGCATCAAAAATGTTGCTTGTGTAGTTGTATAGTTTATGATAACTTCTAATTTATGACTTTCAATCTTCTAAAATGGATCTAAATGATTACTCTTTCTTTGTGCTGTTTACGGATGACTCTTCCTTAGAATTTTGTGCTTAAATCCTGATGTATTGACTTTTGGGGCACTGTGTTAATTCAGTACCTCGATGGCCTGCATGATTGGGTTCAAAACCAAGCTGATTGATGGCGTGTAGACAATGTCCCTGCTAGCTGTATTGGTTGGAAATTTGTGCTGGTTCTCAACTGAGTCCCAATTATCCAGAAGATGAAGCAGGTTTTCATAACTTATAATAAAATAAATAATAATCCTTGCATTTGATATAGGGCTTTTCATGCCTTTGAGATGTCTTAAAGCGCTTCACAGAATATACTGTAAATTGAATTGACTGTATATTTGTGGGCGAAATGTGGCAGCCAATTGCACACAGCAGTGTCCCACAAACAGTTAGTCTCATTTAATGACCAATAAAGATGGATACTGCAGGAAGTAGAAACAAATCACTATCTCTGATTGAGGTCCAAGCAAAGTGGATAGAACTTTACTCTTAGTCATTCTACAAAATATCTCTATGCCTGGAATTGAAAATTTCATCAATACCCAAGCATTGATATTTCACTGTAAATAACTCTAAACAAACTCAAATATAAAGCAATGAAAGTTCTTGTAATCAAGTGATGTGTACTTAACATTCAACTTTTTTAAAATATGACTTTTTTAAATATTAAATTTTTAAAAAATATGACTGTTTGTGGTACATAGCTGTGCGCAATCAACTGCCGAGATTTTTCTCACAAAATACACAGTAACTACATTTTACAATATATTCTGTGAAGTGCTTTAAGCCGTCTCAATGAAATGTTAAGGCGCTGTATCAACTGCAAAGATTATTATTACATGATAATGGATAGAATCAACATTCTGTGGTGAATTAGCTCCAACTTTTTTGAGGAACAAATGAAGCTTTTTTTGAGTGTTCTGCTAACCTTTCTAAAAAGACTTTGACTGTATGGTTCTGCAATTTATGTATCTTATTCTCTATTGCAAAAGGCATTAATTTATAAAGGTCAAAATTAATACTGATTGATCTGTTTTCTTTGCCCATTTTGTACCTCTGCCGTTGGCAAGGATTCTGAAAGTAGTGCTGTTGTGTTTCAGGGTTAAAGGAGGCACATTCAGCTATTGCAGCTTGGTTTTACTTAGGACAAGCCCAACTACGTATGCACAGATATAAAGAGGCAATCAGTGCTTGCAGGCATGGTAAGATGTAAGATGCTTGTTTGTATGAAATTCGTAAAAAAGAAACTTGGATTGATTGCATATGAAACGTGTTATGTGTTATAGTTTACAGTACAAGAGAAGCTGTATTGAAAATTAGTTTTTTGTGTGCATTTGTGTATGAATACAATATTTGCGCTCGTGCAATTTGTATTTTCTGCCCTTTTTCCTTAAATTGAATGGATCCAGCATCCATACCCTTTGTTGGAGAGAGTTCCAGATTCACACTACCCGTTTGGCGAAAAACTGCTTGATTTCACTTCTAAGTGGCCTAGTTCTGATTTTAAGATCATGTCCATTGTTCTGGATTCCCCAACAGAGGAAATAGTTTCTTTGTATCTACCCTACCTAATCCCTCTATTATTTTAAAAACCTAATTAGATGACCCATGAAACTCCTAAACTCAGGGAAATAGAGACCAAGTTCATACAACCTTCCCTCAAAAACAAAAAACAATAATAAATTGGTCATTTTCAATCCACGACTGTTTGTGGGACACTGCTGGGCAAAATTGGCTGCACGTTTCGCCCGCAAATATACGGTCAATTCACTTTACAGTATATTCTGTGAAGCGCTTTGAAACATCTAGAAGATGTGAAAAGCGCTATATCAAATGCAAGGATTATTATTATTAATTTAATCCTTTAAGCCCTGGTATTCATTCTGGTGAATCTGTGCTGCACCCCCTCTAGAGCCAATATATCCTTCCTGAGGTGCGGTGCCCAAAACTGAACACAGTCTCCAGATGGGGTCTGACCAAAGCTCTGTACGGTTGAAGAATCATTTCCTCTCCTTTATATTCCACCCTCCTTGAGGTAAAGGCCAACATCCCATTAGCCTTTTTGATAATTTTTGTACCGGTGAGCTTGTTTTTAGTGTATTGTGTGCATGGACAAATCCCTTTGCTCCTCCATAGTTCTTAGTTTCTCACCATTTAGATATTTTTTTGTCTTTTCCATCGTTTGAAAGTTGGTGGAACTTTGGCAAGAATCCATGCCCTTACACTGTATTATCGTGTGTTGATGATCAAATGAATTGTGCCTTTTATATTAAGTGTATAGCTTTAAACATTCACAGTAAATAAATAAATTGAACCAGCTTTATATGTTTGCAGTGGAGAATGATTTTTAAGATCGAGCTGTAATTTAGTAGATATCACTTCTGCATATTCTTTTTGGATAGACCACATTTCAAACTCATTGGTACATCTCCCAGAAGATCGAGTTTAATATCCTTGCCTCACCTTTAAAGCCCTCCACGTCTTGCTCAGCCCTACCTTTGTGACTTCCTAAAACCCTACCAATCTGTCCTTTCCCTCCACTCGGCAGGTACTGGCCTGCTCCACATTTTTCTACTTGCCCTCTAGAACTTCATCCCAGAGTTGTCAGCCATGGCCCCTCCCTTCAAGGGCTGTCTCAAGATCTTCTTCGGCTACGCCTTCGGTCACCTTCCCACCAACATGCCTTGTCCTTCATCCCTCTCGACTCCAGCCTGCAGCTCGGGTGCAAACCGTTGACTATCCAGCACCTTTAGGACATCCTACTGATATGAAAGGCATTATATAAATGCAAGTTGCAGTTGTAATAAGCTGTATGTTTAGAATTCACCATCAAATTTTCAACTTATTTTGGGTGGTTTATCCACAGGTTTGAAGTTGTTGGCAAGCAATATCCATGATGGTAATATTCATGACAGAACCAGATTGCTTCGTTTGCAAGCAGAAGCCATGGTCCGTTCTGGTGATCCAGCCAATGCTCAAGAAGCTTTTGGCGTCTTGGAACAGGTACCACCATGCTGTTACAGATTGTAGTGCTGCGCTCTTTGCTCAATTTAAAATGATTGTGATTTTGAACCATGTTCAAATTGTAATCTTGGTACTTGTGGTACCAATAATAATCTCTAGTTTTTTATTTACATTGCTTTGATTTGAACCTTTCTACATTATTGAAAAACAGATTGGTTGGTGGTTTTGCAATTCTTAACCAATCCAGTCAAAATGTATATTATGCATTTGTATCTTGATTCGTTATTAATGTGCTGATTCTGTAAGTTTGGAACTAGTCTCCATAATGCAGGATTTTCATATGTTATCAATGACTATTAAAAAATAATTAGAATTTGCTAAGATAAGAATTGATATTGTCCAGAAAGCAACCAACTACTCTTTTTGTAATACTATTTTCCAGATTTTGGACACCAGTGAACCAGCCTTGCTTGCTATTAAGGGCCAAGCTTATTTGAACAAGGGACTGATTAAAAAAGCATTAGAGGTGAGTTCATTTTTAATTGACTTGTTTTTTAAGTGATTTGCTAGTCAAGTTTAATATAAATTTAATGCACTTAATAATCCGATTCTGTTTTTTATTTGTTCACATCTTCAAGTAACTAAACAATTTTTTTGAATACTTGTTTTAAACAAACATTTTTGAATCAATACAACGTTAAAATTGAAATTTCAGGAACTTTATTAAGAAATTGTGATTGTAATTTTTCTCATTAGGTGTACCTGACTTTTTTCATTAGTATCAGTAAAATTTATATTACACGGATATCAAAATGTTTTTTTTAGAAAAACAATTTCATGTCTTAGGTTCTCTGCTTGGTTGAAGGTTGACTATAATTTTTCCTACTTTGGTTTGGTAGATTGTAGAAGATCTTGTTGTTTCTCATCCTGAACTAGCTGAGACATGGGTACTCCAAGGCCTTATAAATAATACTCTAAAACATTACCTTCAGGCAGAGCAAAGGTAAGAATGGTCATTTAACTGTTTTAATATAATGTGCACTTACAATGTGAAACTATATTTTGCTAATTTGTAAATGGATATTTCAAGTTTTATATTGCATAATCAAGTGGAACCAATTCATATTGCTTGTTCACAACATTCATTCTGTCGAGGATTAGTACGTTTGGAAGATCAAGGCTCCAATAACACATGTAACCTTCCAAATCCCATGAATCAACAACCATAATAACAATAAATTACATATATATAACACCTTTCAGGTTAGAAGAATGTCACATGGTGCTGGATACAGTTAAAGATTTGCACCTGAGCTGGGGATTGGAATCAAGAATGGGGTTGGAGGGGAGATAAACCACAGAAGGCTGGTCAATCACATGTAAGGTATTGGTGTACAAGAGTGCAATTTATTCAGTTTCACTTTACACCAGGTTTATCACCTAGAGTCATCTCAACCTTACTTTGCCTCCTCTACAAAGGAATCATGCATTATGTTATTGTAAGGATTACTGTTTCAGAAATATTCACTTAATATGAACTTAATTGTATTCTTACTGGAAAACAAATCAAGCAAAGTAATATTTTGATGCATTTCTCTCCAGTTTTCAGAAAGCTGTTAAAATAAAAGGAGACTGTGGAGAATATTACTATTACCTTGGACAAACATACTGGTCTATGGGAGAAGAGACTAGAAAAGACAAGACAAAAACTGTCACGCATCTGCTAAAGGTTTGTGAAAAACCCACTACTGTACAATAATATCTTCCATTGTACAATTTCTATAAACAGGCTTATTCAAGAGATTTAGCAACAACTTGCATTTAAATAGCCTAACGGCATCCCAAAGCACTTAACAATGGCGGAGCCCGATGCCGGCTAGGAGGAGAGGGAGGGTGACTATAGGTATGTTCAAAGAGGAAGGTCTTCAGGTGCAACCTGAAAATGGAGAAAGGGGGTAAGGCAAAGGGATTGAGGGAAGGGAGGGAGTTCCATAGCTTTGGGGCGTAGTGGCTGAAGGCATGGTTGTAGATGGTGTAATGGAGGATTCGAGGGATAAGGAAGAGGCTGGAGCCAGTAGAGCGGAGGCAGGGGGTAGTGCTGTGAGGGGAGAGAAGGTTGGAGAGATGGGGGGTGCCTGCAAAGGCGGGGAGGCATTTAAACACTAGAGTGAGGATCTTGAAGTTGATCTGCTCTGTGACATGGGTGCGGAGTTTAGTGCGGGTAAGAATGTGGGTGGCAGAGTTTTGGATGAGTTGAATTTTGTGAATAGTGGAGGAGGGAGACCGGCGAGGAGGGCATTTGAGTAGTCCAGCCGAGAGGCGTTGTCACAGAGGTTGTTTTCTGAATACATCTTCACATTTCTTTCCTGAAATCTAGCAGCACTGGACACCCTCCAGTCTAGTCTCCTTAAGATTGGGTGCCCAAAACTGAACAGTACTCCAAATGAGTTCTGACCAGCACTTAGATTAATACCTGGGTTGAAGAGGTTTAGCTATGATGAGAAGCTGTGTAGACCTGGGTTATATTCATTTGAGCAGAGGGATTTAAGGGGTGATTTCATAGGGGTATTTAAAACAATGAAAGGAATTGACAGGCTAGATCTAGATAGTGGATGCCTCTTCCCTCTTGTAGAAGAATCTATTATATGGGAGCATAGACTTTAAATCAGAATTAAAACTGTTAGAACTGAGGTCAGAAAACATTTTTTTCACACAGATTTTTGTGAATATGTGAAATCTAGAGATGGTATCAATAACTATTTTTTAAAAGAAAGATAGACAGATATTTGGTTACGAGGTAGTAAGAAACCTGGTGAAAGAACATTGGGATTAACAGATCTTCTAAAATCTAATAACTGGCTTGCTGGATTAAATGGCCTCCTGTTTCCTTGAACATATTCAAGACTGATATTCATAGATTTCTTATGGATAAAGGGATTAAGGAATATGGGGATAAGGCGCGTAGTTGGAGTTAGAATAGATCAGCCATGATCTTATTGAATGGCGGGGCAGGCTAGAGGGGGCGAATGGCCTACTCCTGCTCCTTCTTCTTATGTTCTTATGTTCTGTTCCTCTAATGATGATGTAGAGACTACTATTAGAGATCAGGAAAACTCTATAAACAGAATTAATGGGAATATTTTCCCTTTTACATGGTCAGTATCGTAGAAATTCTATCCCACAGATTTTCATAAAGTTTTTATTTATTTCCACCATCGATTAGCAAGAAGTGAAGGAAATGGGTTTAATTATTTTTATTTACATTTTGCTTCCGGTGCAAATTCTAATACAAATATAATGCAAATTTACACTTATATACCGCCTTTCAAGTCAAGAGGTCATTAGGTGTTTGTGTGGTGTGAGTTTGACTTGTGTGCTTTGAACTCTTCTCTCCAAATGAATTTCCAAACAAAAAAGCATTCTAATAGTTGGAATATGATGTGATATTCCATAAAATCGAAGCTGAAAAATATTTTGGAGAAGCGTTGTCACCATCTATGAATAGCTTTAAATAATTCAATTAATAAAACATCTTTCTCAAACCTCCACACGTATGAAAAAAAACCAAGGAAACTTGTCAAACTCTAGGTCATCAAGTTGCTGCTGATGTCACCAATGCTTCCTGTGCATAAGTGCACATGGCCATCAGATTTAAGTCAGCCACATTTAGCGTAAGAAGTTGACTAGTTAGTGTTGGAGACCAGGGCTCCTATGATTCTGGTTAGCGTGGTCTACAGTAGACCCCATGCCTCCAATCACCTTTATCCTCCTATTTTTTCCTGTGTTCAAATGCAAGACCTGTTCATTATGATTCTTCTTTGCTTTTGTCAATTCTAGGCTGCAAAGTTAGATTCGTACAATGGAAAAATATTCTGCTACTTGGGCCACTACTATCGAGATATTGCACTGGATAAAAACCGAGCCCGAGGTTGCTACAGGAAAGCCTTTGAACTGGACAGCAGTGATGAAGATGCTGGAGCAGCAGCTGTTGATCTAAGTCTTGAAGTTGGAGATATGGTACAATACACACTTGTCATACACTGAACTTTATATTTAAAACCTGTAGGATTGTTTCCCGCTGCATGCGCTCCTTGTGTTTTTATTAGCTAGAATAAATATTTTCTATAAATGTTTATTATTGAAGCAGAAAATTAAAATTGTAATTAGTTTCTTTAGTCACTCTATTCATCAATACATGTTCAGTTCCATTGCTTATTATCATTTTTTAAAATATTTGCAGATGACTATTTTGAAGTCTATTCAATCTTTTTTTCAACCTTTTTTAAATTTCCAACTGACCTTCCAAATTTTTTTTAAAAAAGGGCATTAAGATTAAGCATTTTGCCCAAATGTGTGTTTCTCATTGTTATAATGTCAATCAGGACAATGATTCATTCTCAGGGCAAGGTTCCCTGAGTACTAGTAGCTTTCATTAGTTATTCTTCAGTTGTGAACCGATGCAAATATAAGTGGCTACACTTTATTAAATCCTGAAAAGCATTTTGAAGCATTCTTCAGACATGAAAGCCACTCTCCCAAATGCAAGAATTTTATGACAGTTCCTATTTGCCTCCATCTGATAGTTCTTACAGATTTAATATTTGTGCAAGTCCTACCCTCAGTTTATATTATGTAGAAAAACATTATGAATGTTCTCATAAACTTTCATTTTTTTAGGATACCGCTCTTGTAATTCTGAGAGCAGTGACTGATAAGGCAAGTGCTGGGGCAGCCAAATGGGCTTGGCTTAGACGAGGACTTTACTACATGAGGATCAACCAGTGCACCCAAGCTATTGCAGAGTAAGATATTCTAACTGCTTTGAGATTACAGATTTAGTGTTTAAAATATGGGATAGTTTGTAATCTGTATATATTTAGACATTTATATTTATAGTGGAGGCCTTTCAGAGAATATTGAGCAGTGTTGTAACTTGTCATTGTGTATTATTGACCGTGCCTCTTATTCTCTTTGACCGTGCCTTCAGCTCCCCTCTCGACTCTCTTCCCCCTCCTCGCTCCCTCCCTTCCCTCCCCTCACCCTGACCATTTTCCCCCTGCTCGGGTCATGACCCAACTGTGCAGCGCCTTGGGACGTCCTCCTGACGTGAAAGGCGCTTTATAAATGGAATCTTGTTGTTGTTGTTGTTATTCTTCTGCTACTTGTGCATAAGTAAGATAAATCAATTTTTTAAATCTGCATTGAGAATCACAAAATATTACTTTTACTTGTAGATTATGTGAACTATTACTTTTCTGCAGAATCATAAGATGTTAGTGCTTTAATATTTAGAGATCATGCAGATCCTAGAAATTGCGATCTTAAAAATCAACCTTAGTGAAAACAAAAAGCTACCTATTGTCAAATTCAAAAAATGTTGGATCAACAACAACAAAATTACATTTGTAAAGCGCTTTTCATGTCGAGAGGATATCCCAAGGCCTGGACAATCAGTGTTTCGGATCCGAGCTGGGGGTTGAGATCAGGAAGGATGGAGAGCGGTGGGGATGGAGGGTAAAGGAACGCACGGTCGAAGAGGAGGGTCTTGAGATGGGTCTTGAAGGAGGCAAGGGAGGGGGCGAGGCGGAGGGACTGCGGGATGGAGTTCTAAAGGGTGGTGGCAGAAGGTCCCCCCACCATTGGTGGGCGAGGTGAGGGACGTGAAGCAGGCCGGAGCCCACTGAGCGGACGGAGTGGGCAGGTTGGTAGGGGGTTAGAAGCTTGCAGAGGTAGTGGGGAGCAAGGCCAGGGAGGGCTTTGAAAGTGAGGACCAGCTATGAGAGCTTAATTTTTTTATGTGTGAGGGTTGGATGCTTGAATTTGTTAATTTTTTTTATCCTGAAGTTATTTCTACTCTTCCTCCCCTCCCCCCAGTTTACAAGCGGCTTTGAGGGCGGACCCGAAGGATCCCAATTGTTGGGAGTGTTTAGGGGAGGCATACCTCAGCAGAGGAGGATACACTGCTGCTTTAAAAGCCTTCACAAAAGCCAGTGAATTGAACCCCAATTCAGTGTACAATATTTACAAGATAGCAGCAATCAAGCAGATTCTTGGCAAATATGCAGAGGCCATCGCAGAGTATAAACAGATCATTTACAATTCACAAAACTATGTCCCTGCTCTCAAAGGTAAGCATTAGAGTAATGAGCTGGGAACAACGATTAGACAGGTCTTCAGTCTTGAGACAAGATGACTCAGAGTGGACCTTGTAGAGGTGTATAAAATTTTAAATGGGATTCAAAAAGTAAATTTAGAACAATACATTACGATGCACCGAGACAGTAGAACAAGAGGACGTCAGTTTAGAATTTCAAAGGGCAATTTCAGGACAGAGACCAGGAAGCTTTTCATTACTTAGAGGGTAATTAACGACTGGAAGAGGAGCGGGTTGAAATCAGGGCGCTGGACTCATTTCTAAAGCAGTTGGATACTGTTATAGGAAGACCATAGGATGGGTATTCTGGAAGGATAAAATTAGATGGGTCAAAGGGAGTTTTTTTTAAGACAAATTAAGTTGTAAGATGTGTTTATGGTTTTATAGGTCTAGGTGAATGCTGTCTAATGATGGCTCGAAGTGCTCTTAATGATTATTTAGATGGGAGAGCTGTGGACATAATAGAAGAAGCACTTCAGTACTCTGCTAGGTAAGTGAACATCAGGTACACGCATTCATACAAGTTGTAAACCTCATTGATCAAATTTGGTAATGCTTTTGTACAGCTCGTTTATTAATGGTAGTGTAATGGTGGATCATGAAGGAGTTGTGGGACACGAGTTTGCTCTCATGATTTGCCCTCTTCTTTTCCCCCTTTCCTACTTGTCTCCACTCCAATACTGAGTTCATAAGAAATGGTCAGGAAATTCCCTCCAAGGTGCATTATCTCATCCTCTTATCCTGGTCAGCTGTGCAACTTCCAGTTGTTTTCTAAATGTGATTGAAGCACAGTATTAAACAAAAAATTAACATTTATAATCTTCACCTATGGTTCCATGATTCAATTTTCACACCCAAAGAAGCTGGAAACAATGCAACTCTTTGAGGGTTGGGTGGGAGGGTTAACAGAGATCATGCCTGAACAAGTACTTTTAAGTACAGGAATCAAACAACCTCATTACATTTTGATAGTCTTGACCTTTAATTCAAAGCAATTGCTAATTGTGACTTGTACTATGTAAGCAATGCCTAGATTTCACTTTGTTTTTCCCTCTCCAATTTGTTTGTAGGGCTGTACTGTGGCGACCTGATGTATCCTGTCTTTGGAAGTTAATTGGAGATGCATGTACTGCATTGCATGTTCTGTCACCAGCTAAAGTAAACATTCAAGTTTCTGTTGTTCTTACTGGTCATAGCGAAAGAGCGATGTGCAGACTTTAAACAAAGGTGGTATCCTTATTCTTGGAGGAAGGTAATCTTTTTTGTAATGAAAATAATTTTTCTAAATAGTTTTGCCACAAGTTGGCTGCCACAAAATAGTCAATCTCCTTTATAGTATATCCTGTGAAGCGCTTTGACACATCTTGACAATGTAATACGATGCTATATCTAGTGCAAAAAATATTATTATTACAGTAAATGTTATACTCATGAACTATGAACTATACCCATTTATATTCAGTATACATGTTGCAATGGAGTAAATTATTCAGTCGTGACTCTGAAAATGATTAAACCAGTTCTGTAGTGTCTGTAATGAAAATTCTAAATCCAGCACGATTTACACTAATGCCATCTGATACACATAAAAAAAAGTTTGTTTTATGTTGTTAGCTTTGGAATATCCTTTTGCAGAATTATTGATGTTAGAGAAGACATTTCAAAATAAGCAATTGATTAAACAAAGACTTTTTTTTCATTCCAGGTGCTATGGCCGAGCCCTCCATTTGATGTCCACCTCTGCCAATCTATGGTGTGATCTTGGGATCAATTACTATAGACAGGCACAACATCTGTCAGCTTCAGGGAAAGAGAATGAAGTAGAAGAGATACTAGAAAAATCTTTGCAGGTAAGTGATTAGCTCTTTAACATAACAACCAGTTATGTTAACATTCCAAGAACATTCCAAGGCACTGGACAATTGAGGGTTTGCACCGAACTGAGGATTGGATTCAGGAGTGGCAGGGGCCAATTGGTTAGGGATGGGAAGATGCCCTGAAGGAGCAGTGAGGCAGACTTGAAGGAGGTGAGGATAGGGACGAGACTAAGGGATGGAGTTTCAGAGGGTGGGGGCAGAAAGGCTAAAGGCCTGACAGCTGATGGTGGGACGGATAGGGCAGGGGACATGAACCAGGCCAGTGCCTGGTGAGCGGAAGGAGCAGGTGGATTGGTAGGATTTTGAAGGTCATGAGGTAGGGTGGGGCATGACCCTGGAAGGATTTAAAAGTGAAGGGTACCAATGGAGGTAGTTAAGCATGGGGATAGGCTTGTGGAGCCGAGTGCTGGAGAGGACATGAGCTGCAGGAGTTCTGAGTGGTTTGCAGCTTGTGGAGGGAAGAGTTGGGAAGTGCAGCTAGCAGAGAATTGGCATTGTGAAGCCTGGGAAAAGCCAAGAGCTCTTTTTGAAGAGCTACCCAAGCAGTTCCACTCCCTTGCTCTTTCCCCATATACTTGCATGTTTTTCCTTTGCAAGTACCTATTCAATTCCCTTTTGAAAGTTGTTATTGAATCTGTTTCTACCACTCTTTCAGGCAGCGAATTCCAGACTGCAACAACTCCTTGTGTTTAAAAAAAAATCTCCTCCCATCTGGTTCTGGTTGCCAATTATCTTGAATTTCAATTCTTCCCTACCCACTTTTTCATCATAATTGCCATTCAGCAGCAACAACATTGAATATTTATATTGCATTAGGATATCTCAAAGCACTTCACAAAATTGACTGGAAGCCTGAACTATGGTGGAGACCTGAGGGTGGGATGGGGAGAAGAAAGGGGACCAAAAGCGGAGACTGAGGGGCAAGGTGAAGGGTCTCTGGGATGATATTCCAGATACCAGGGCCAAAATAGCTGAAAGCTTGCCCACTGATGGTTGGGCGGAGGACATTAAACAAGTCTGTATTTGCTGAGTAGAGGAATTAGCAGGGGCAGGAGGTCCCAAATGTAGGGTTGGATGAGGCTATGGAGGTAAATAAAAGTGAGAATGAGAATTTTGAATTCAGTCCACTGGGGGATGTGGAGGGAGCTGAGTGAGGATGGGGCTAGAGTCTGCAGAAGAGGACATGGGCTGCAGAGTTTTAGATGTTTTGCAGCTTGTGTAGGAAGGCGCTAGGGAGTCCGCTGAGGAGGACCTTGGAATAGTTGATCCTGGAGGTGATGAAGGTAAGGCATTGGCAACCCAGAGGCATTAGTGACTGAAGGATGATGTTGCCAAGAATTAGGTAAGACTGAGTAGGTGAGAGCCCAGATGTAGGCTTTAACGGATCGTTGGAAATTGAACAAGACTGAGATTCCGCACTGACTCTCTTTCTAAAAATGTGCCTAGTTGGTCCTTGAACCCATTTATATTGTTTCTTTTAATGGCCCTGTCCATTAACATATGCTTTGTGTAGAAACAATCCGTCTGACTCTCTTTCTTGGTCGATTTTAATTAAATTTTAACTTGTCCCCAAGCATTTGAACGCTTTGGTATAATAAGGAACAATTTGCCAGAATTACTTTTGTCAATCAGCTTCAAGAATTTTAAAAAGTTCAATTTAGTTAACTTTCTTTCTAAATTTTTCATTATCATTGCCTTTTGCTGCACCCACTTAAGGGCAGTATAATGAAATTCAGTTACTTGAATATCAGATAATTAAACAGTTCGGTTTATTTAATAGAATTTAGAAATCCCAAAACATTTACTCGTATAATCTAAGAATATAGATTGGTTAATTGAATACCGGATATACAAATAATTTGTTTTACTGAATAATTTTCCCTGTGACCATTCATATNAAAAACAATTAATCAGTCTGGATAAACCAAATCACTACCTTCTACAGTACAGGGTGAACGTCATTGACGTCCTAACCTCCTGCCCTCTCCCCTCACTCCCCAGAGAGGTCACTGGCGATTGGTAAGTTGGCTACATCTGAGTGAGGATGGTATGCTCTGAAACTCCATCCCCCAGTGCCTTCGCCTTGCTTCCTCCCTTTCCTCCTTCAAGACCGGTCTCAAGACCTTTCTCTTTGACCGTGCCTTCAGCTCCCCTCTCAACACCCTCCTCGCTCCCTCCCTTCCCTCCCTCTGACCATTTCCCCACTACTCGGGTCCTGACCCAACTGTCCAGCGCCTTGGGACGTCCTCCCGACATGAAAGGCGCTCTATAAATGGAATCTTGTTGTTGTATGATGATCCTTGCTTTAGATATAATGCCTTATGTCATTGAAATGTCTCAAAGCACTTCACAGGATATATACTGTAAAGTGAATTGACTATTTTGTGGACAAATCACAATTGTACACTGCAGTTGTCTCACGAACAGTCGTCGATTGAGTGACCACATTTTTTTTGAGGGATTATTACTCCAGAAAGCCATCCGCCTATCGACTAACAACTGGGTTCCTACTTAATGCTAAGTGAACAGAGGTGTGTGGAGGAAGGAAACTTGTCTAAGGTTTCGCTCTGCTGGAAATCTTACCTCAATCGCTTGCGAGGCGAATGCTCTAATCATTATGCTACGGGGCTCCTACTGATTGGTAGTGATTGAGAGTGTTTCTAGTTTTGGGTGCAGTTGGAGGCCACATGCCTCAAGCTCTGGCAGAAAGCGTCTCTAATATTTAGTGTAGTTATATGAATAGTTCAGTTTATTAAATAATTTTCACAATCAAATTGAGTATTCAATCAACAGGATTTCACTGTATTATGACTCATATACTTAGCTGTAAGTTATTTACTTTGACCTAATACGTTCACTATGTTCACTGCAGTACTTTTAGTTTCTAAAAGTTGGAAGAGGGGGAATGTATTTGTGGGATAACTTTATCCAGGAACTTGTTTGAAGTCCGCTTGACATATGTATGAATGTATAATTCATTAGTTTACCTTCACATTATGTGTGGATGAAAATTAGCATTCTTTCTTTATGGAATTCAACAATTAAGATGTCCATAAACATGCAGAAATGTTAATTTAAACTGGATACAATATTTGCACACCAGCTAGCTATTATATAAAAAAATCTAAATTGAAAGATTTCCACTGTTAAAAGTAACATGTAAACTTTGAATATGTGTGTTTGCTTTCTAACAGTGCCTTAAAAAATGTGTGATGTTGGACAGCAGAAATCATCTGTACTGGAATGCACTTGGAGTTGTTGCCAGTTGCAAAGGTATACTATGCTAGTGGACTAGAGCCACACTTTTTGACCATTTCAAATCATCATTGTTGCTTCTAATATGCTGTTACAGAATTTTTCGGGAAACAAATCCTTGTAAAGCCATTGAAATGCTTTAAATAGATGTGATATTAAAAACCAGAAAGGTTTAACTTGACAGAATGCAAAACCTCCAGTAATGAATTGCTTTTAAATTTGGTGCTTGTTGTGTAAGCAAAGTGAAGATAATTGGGTGAGTTAAAACTTCTAAAAGGGGTTTTGCCAAAATAGAAGTATGTTTCAAATACTGAATAGGCAGATTTAAAGAAAATACAGTGGTAGCGTAAAGTCAGGTAATTGGGGATGTTTGGGGGGAAAAAAGAGAAAAGAAAAGGTGAGGTAACAGAATTGTCCTTGTGTATCACTAGACATTAACTCTAGCCAGAAATCTGCTCAATACATTGGGATATTATGAAAAAACAATCATTTTAGTTAGGATAAAGTATTGCTGTAAATTAAAATGTGTTGTGATGCTTTTCTTCATTGATTTGTCACAGATGTTGCAAACTATGCCCTTGCGCAACATGCGTTCATCAAATCAGTTCAGGTTGAACAAAATGTAAGTGAATCTATATCTTTTTAGCTGAACATTTAAAAAAAATTCTAGTAAGAATGTTTCAGAAAGTTTCAGTAATACTAATTCCACATATTTAGAAGCAAGAATGTAACAACATCACTTTAAAAATGACTTTTCAAGTGTTAATCTCTTGTACCAGAATGTCGTGGGCTGGACCAATCTGGGAGTTACTTATCTGAAGAATGAAAGTATTGAGGTAAATGTTCAGACCATTGATAATTTTGATAATCATTTAAATTACCTGAAAGAAAGTTATTTTAATTTCATTGTCCTGTTGTTTGAATTGTTTAATGGTTGGTAGTATAGCAGTAGTATAATCCTGGCCAGCAATCCCCCAAATAAAATTGACAAAACACACAGTCGATCCACTTTACTGTATATCCTGTGAATTACTTTGAGGTGTCTCGATGACATAAGGTGCTATATCAAATTATTATCATTAATTTCACGGCTGTTTGTGGGACATTGCAGTGCACAAATTAGCTACTGCATTTACCCACAAAACACAGCAACATCACCCTACAGTATATCCTGTAAAGTGCTTTGAGCATCCTGACATGAAAGGCAATATCCCAAATGTAAGAATTATAATTTATTATAATTTTATAAATTGCTAATTCAGTTTTCAAATATTGCAGCAATTTGGTCCAAAATATTGTTGTTAGTAAGATTGTGTTTATCGCATCCTTTTTTTCATATTTCTTATTTTAGTTGGCCCATGAAGCCTTCAAGGTAGCCCAATCTTTGGAGCCCTCATATGTAATGTGTTGGATTGGGCAGGTAAATGATTATTTAAGTTCTTTGTGGAATTTTATGCATGTATTCTTTAAAATATGAAACCAAAGTGATATTTTTTATTGGAGTCATTGTATCAAAACTGATTTAAAAACTTGTGTAAAATTCAACACTGTCTAGATTGAAGGCTAATCTATCCCTTTAAGTTCAAGTACTTTCTCACTTTTCAACAAGTTCCTTCTTGGCGGTATATTGTCCATTTAATTGCATGGTTTTTGTCTGGTCCTGACTCTATGCAATTATACGAAGTGCACTGTATAGTACTTTTCTTACTTTACATTTGTAAGGAATTTGTTCAGTTTATGAAATTCATTTTGTAATAAAATAGTCTCTCTTTACTGTTTCATTTCACTCATGGCTTCATTCTTACAGGCACTTATTGCAGAAACTGTTGGTAGTTATGAGACTATGGATTTGTTTAGACATACCACTGAGCTTGGTATTCATGTGAGTACTGTCCTTTTATAACAACTACTTATTAGGAGAAAAGTTAGTAAATTCAACCCAAATTCCACAAATGTGTTGACCAGAGGAGAGATGTTTCCTGCTTCCTATCATCTAGGATCTACACCACAAGAGGTTACCTCTATCTCAAACCCAGACCGAATACCATAATAAGTTTCAAGCAGAAATTCATTATAGGTCGGTCTATCTAGTTTATCCATTCAATTACCTACCAGATTTTTTTCAATGTACCTCTCTGTAATCTCTTAAACAATTTGTGTCACAGAAGTGAGCTTCATAGTTTTGACTCCCTGCTGGGACAAGTTTACTTGGGGATCTGTAAACCTGGTATAACTTTTGACCATACCTTATTGCAGCAATATGTTTGAAAATGAGTATTTGCTTTTTGTAGCGAATGTTAATCTGATCAGTTCAGGGATATTATTTTGATTTTGTGCAGTATGATCAGAAAGGAATGCCTCAAATATTGAAAACAAACATTTGTTTTTGTAGACAGAAGGAGCTAAGGGATATGCACACTGGGTATGTGCAACTCTGCAAGATAAAACAAACCGGAATTCAGAATTGTATCGATACAACATTGTACAGATGAATGCAATATCTGCAGCACAGGTTGTTATGAGCAAGTTTACAGGTATGTTGTTGTGTGTTTCTCAACAAGTGTGGTATGTTGCAATTTAGGAAATATTTACAACACAATTTACATTTATATAGTGCCTTTCATGTCAGTAGGACATCTCAAAGTGCTTCTGAACTATAGACGTATGTATAAATAATGAATATATTGCAACACACTTGAAATTGCACTAGCAATATTCAATATTGATGAAAAACACATTTACTGTATCCATTGACAGCACTGTAAATATCAAGTACAAAAGACTGCGTACTAGTCTTGATTTTTTTCTATATATTACTAGTATGATAGGGTGCTGATGAGTTTGCTTTGTTCCTTTGTTTGAACAGAGAGGATACAGACTGATCCAGCGGCGTTTACAATGTTGGGGTATTTAAATGAGTATCTTAACCTGAAAAAGCAAGCACAGGAGGCATATCACAGGTAAGTCGTTTTAATTGAACTTATTGAAATCCTATTTGAAATTAATTTCCTGCATTAGAAAACCACAAAATCTGTTATTGGTTTGTTATTATAGAAATAGATAACAGACTGACTAACTTGAAAGTAGTGATAAACAGGCTACAGTGTCTGATGAGCTCGCATATTTTCATATTCCATATTTTCAAATACTGAGTCACAGTTCAATAGAGAGACAATTATCAGCATCTATTGGGACCTGCCCCATTACGGATAAACAAACAGTGAAAATAATGGGTCAACACGCAGACTACAAAATGGCTACACTACCTTAAAAAAAAATCCATTAAGGATTATGCTGTCACTGTGGTACGCTGTGCCAAAGTTTCCCTCTCTCTGCCACTTTCTCTTTCTTTCCGACTCTGCCTTTCTCTGCCTGTTGAGGAGTCCTGTAGTTCAGTGGTTAGAGCATTTGCCTTGCAAGCAAGAGGACTGGGGTTCGATTCCCGGGCAGTGCGAAACATTAGACAAGTTTCCTTACTCCACACGCCTCTATTTATCCAGCAGTAAGTACAAACCCAGTTTTTAGTCGATTGGTGAATAATTTGTTCACTCAATCTGCGACTGTTTGTGGGACATTGCTATGTGCAATTCACTGCTGTATTTAGCCCACAAAATATACAGCCGATTCACTGTGCAGTATATTCTGTGAAGCATCTCAATAATGAAAATCCTCGAATTTGATAGTGCCTTATTATTATTATTTATTATGTCCAATCCAGTTATACAAAGATTTATGAACTCTTAATACTTTGGCTGCTTCCAACCAAGGTGATCCCACTTTTTAGATGACCAAACTATGAAAACAAGCTAAATTTGTTCTTATCGGGTGGTGGGCAAAATAAAATTTTAGAATAAAACTAATTGATAAGATGGATGATTTATAAATAATGTATAGCATGGATACAGGCCATCCAGCCCAATCAGTCCATGCCACAGTGCTCCACACAAATCTTCACTCATATGTGGAGATATATTTTGTATAAAAAAAGGATAAGGGATTAAAAGGACAAGATTAAGTATCAGTCTGGCTCAGTTGGAAGCACATTTATTTCTAAGTAGGAAGGTTGTGACTTTGAACTCACAGTCTAGACCAACATCTGTCTTCACAAAAGAAGAGGATGCAGCCAATGCCACAGTATTGGAGGAGAGGGTAGAGAAATTGGATAGGATAATAAACAGAGAGGAGGTACTAAAAAGGTTGACGGTGCTCAAGGTAGATAAGTCACCTGGTCTGGATGGGATATATCCCAGGTTACTGAGAGAAGTAAATGTGGAAATAGTGGCGGTTCTAGCCACAATCTTTCGATCCTCCTTGGACACCGGGGGTGGTGCCAGAGGACTGGAGGGTTGCAAATGTTACTCCACTGTATAAAAAGGGGCAGAAGGATAAACAAGGGAACTACAGGCCAGATAGCCTAACGTCAGTAGTGGGGAAACTTCTAGAGACAAAATAACTTTTCACTTAGAAAAATATGGGTTAATAAAGGACAGCCAACATGGATTTGTTAAAGGCAAATAGTGTCTAACAAACTGGATAGAGTTTTTTGATGAAGTAACTGAGAGGGTGGTTGAAGATAGTGCAATTGATGTAATTTACATGGATTTTCAAAAGGTTTTTGATGAAGTGCCACATAAGAGACTTGTAAGCAAAATAGAAGCCCACATAAAGGGACAGTGGCAGCATGGATACATAAGTGACTGGGAGACAGAAAGCAGAGAGTGGCGGTGAACAGTTGTTTTTCTGTCTGGGGGGAAGAGTGTAGTTGTGTCTCCCAGGGGTCGGTATTGGGACCACTGCTGTTTTTGATCTATATAAATGACCTGGACTTGGGTATAGGGAGTACAATTTCCAAGTTTGCAGATGATACTAAGCTCGGAAGAGTAGTAAACAGTGAGGAGGATAGTAGCAGACTGCAAGAGGACATAGGCAGACTGGTAAAATGGGCAGATACGTGGCAGATGAAGATTAATGTGGAGAAATGCGAAGTGATGCATTTTGGGAGGAAGAATGAGGAGAGGCAATATAAGCTGATGGTACAATCTTAAAGGGGGAGAAAGAACAGAGAGACCTGGGGTTCAGATAAGTAAATCTGTGAAGGTGGCAGGACAGGTAGATAAAGCTGTTAAAAAATGCATACGGGATACTAGGCTTAATAAATAGGGGCATAGAATACAGAAGTCAAGAAGTTATGATGAATCTTTATAAAACACTGGTTAGGCCTCAGCTGGAGTACTGTGTCCAGTTATGGGCACCACACCGTAGGAAGGATGTCAATGCATTGGAGGGTGTGCAAAGGAGATTTACTAAAATGGTACCAGGAATGAGGGACTTCGGTTATCAGGAGAGGCTAGAGAAGCGAGGATTATTCTCCTAGGAGCAGAGAAGAGGACCCTTAGTAGAAGCTTTAAAAATTATGAGGGGATTCGATACAGTGAACGAAGAGAATCTATTTCCACTGGCGGGTGGGTGGGTAACCTGAGGACACCTATTTAAAATAGTTGTTATAAGAAACAGAGGTGCGTGAGAAGAATTTGTTTCACACATCAAGTTGTTCGGATCTGGAATGCATTGCCTGAAAGGGTGGTGGAAACTGATTCGATAACAACATTTAAGAGAGAAGTAGATAATTATTTGGGGAGGATAAGTTTGCAGGGCTATGGGGAGAGAGCAGGGAGTGAGATTGATTTGGATAGGCTTTTTCAAAGAGCCTGCACAGACACGATGGGCCAAATGGCCTCCTTCTGTGCTGTATGATTCTACGAACACTGTAATACAGAGCCGAGACCTGTACTTCTCTTCCACTAGAATATAATTCCATCTTCTCGACGTCTGAAAGTGCTTCACAAAATAGACTGTAAAGTGAATTGACCGTATATTTGTGGGCGAAATGCGGCAGCCAATTGCTCACAGCAGTGTCCCACAAACAGTCGTGGACTGAAATGACCAATTTATTGTCTTTGTTTTTGAGGGATTATTATCAGGAGTGTGGATGTTGGCAGACTGTTCAACAATAGTGTGGGGACCAAGATACCAAGGCACATTTCTGTCCTCATTTAACATGTACACACATGCATATTCCACCAGGGGTCTCTAGAGGCCAATAAGGAGTGAAACCACTTTTTCTCATCCCTATTCAGGAACACGGAAGCCAATTGCACTCCTCAACTGAGGTACCAATGTTTCTGCCCTAGAAATTAACTTGAAAATAAATGTTGATCATTCTTCTCTTTATTAGGGCAGCAGTGCTACTACAGAATGCTGAAGACAAAGAAGCATTAAATTATGCTTGGAGAAATTTGGGTCGAGCCTTTTGGTGAGTTTTCTTAATTTAAATTTAATTTAAATTCTTGCTGAATGAATGTAGATTTTGGGATTCATTTCCCATATTTTTATTCCAAGAAGATATCATTAATAACTACGTGTTTTTTTAAAATCTGTTTATATTAAGCAATACAATATACATTTACATTTATGTAGCACCTTTCACATCAGCAAATTCAAATTACTGATGTATTCCAACTCCAATGCTTCTCGGAAGGAAATTCAAACTATAAAAGTAAATGGCATACCATCAGATCTGAAACTTCCAGTTATGATGTCACTTCAGGTTACCAAATTGAACTTTTGTTTTCAAGGTCAGTTGGGTGCTGTCTCATTGATTGAAGGTATTTTGACAACAAGATCATTTCTTGTTCTTTTAGAAATGATAACCCAGCACACGCCATTTTGTCGCTAACATTTAGCAGATATCTGCCTTTGGGAAGACCATGAATACCAATGGAACATACAGTAATAGTAATTCATGTTTATAGATTTTTCTGGACATGATATGCATTTATATGGCCACATCAAGGAAATATTAGTTCCTCCAGTGAATGGGAATGGTGTGCCTGTTTACCAATTCAACTCAAGATTTAAAATAGTTTGATTAGCTCAGCTGTAGGATTTGGTAAATATTATTCTCAATGATTTACAGTGACATCTTTTAAAATGCTGCATTCCTCAGTACTATCATATGTTTTATTGGGAGGCCAGGGTCCAGAATTTAATGTGGCACTTTGCTTTCTGCTCATTTGTTCATAAAAGAGCTGCTAAAATTCTGCCTTGGAAATATAAGTTTTTATGTATAGAAATGGAGGAAACAATGCAAAAAAATCTTCATGAAAACTTAATTTTACCTCCATTTGTTTAAAAAAAAGTCCTCTTTGCCTTGTATGAAAAAAGTTTTACTTCCTGCAAAAGTTGATCTTTAAAGATATAAATCTATAAATATCTTTGTGGTGCACAAATTGGCTTCCGTGTTTACCCACAAAATACACAATCGCTTCACTTTACAGAATGCACTTTGGGACGTCCACTTGACGTGAAAGGCGCTATATCACTTGTAAGGATTATTATTTTTAGGTTTTCATGCTGGTCATGAAAATAAATTCCATTGCTCACTAGAAATGTCAATACTTACCTGTGAAGTGCTTCAGTATGTTTCTATGTTACAGGCTTCATAGCAATTTTTTTAGAAATTAGGCTTCAGAATTTAATAAAAAATATTTTTTCTTACCGTGTGGAGCAAGAGAAATGTTTTCTCCAATGGAATGTTCTGCCATGTTTGTCCACAGTCTGATTCTGTAGTAAATAATTATTTATAATTCTTTAGCAATTTGAAAATTGTTTAGTTTTTTTAAATTCTGTTTTGTTTGCTGACATGAGAATCTTATACATAAAATATCAGAGCATGCAGAACACAAATGGCGTTGAAGTTAGAAGCAGTCATTCAAAGTATTGCTCATTGTATTTGTCTTCTGGATTGGATCACATTGAAGATGAATCCAGCTCCTACACCTCAGTCATCTTTTCCTCTTCAGTGCAACAGGTCAATATCAGGAAGCTATCCAGGCTTACATGTCTACTCCACTTGTGGAGTTTGATGACATCACTGGCCTTGCTCTGTCATACTTCAAGAAAGAGCTACTTCAGGAGAGTGTTAAAGGTAAGAATAGAGCACTTTTTTTGAACAAAGGAATTCAGTTTACCTACAACAATCCTACTCGCAGGCAATAATAAAATTTAGTAGATGAAATATTTACAGTGTTTTTACCTGAGGAATTGTATTTAAACTAAAATGTTTAGAGATTTATTAAGCAAATAGCATCAATCATACATATCTTATCAATAAAATTTTCTTTTCTTTACACAAATGCAAACAAACCTTCACATCCTATATTTCTGTTAATACGAATTGGATTTGAAAATTTTTGGGGGGATGGGGAAAGGCAGTAGAGTTGGCAGTTCTCAAACATTTAAAATTTTGTTTTAACAGCTTATGAAAAGGCTTTAACTGTTGCTTCCTCGGAGAAAGAGAAGGCTTACATACTGATTGCACTCGCAATGATCGAATTTAAACAGAACAGAGTGGACAGTGCCAAGACTCTGCTTTTTAAGTGGTAAGTGTGCAGAAACATAATTCATGTGCCAAAATTGTCACTTTATCCACATACAGTTAACTCCTGATAACTTGGCACTCCAAGGGAAAAGGACTCAGGGACCAAGAATCCAGGAATGGGGTGTTAGGCATAGGTCATCCTAAACCACAAGGGGCGCTGTGACTAGTGTGAGCACTCGATGGAGATTGGGCACACATGCTCATATTACATTACAGAGGTCTCTGGACTATTGGAGTATATTAAGGGGACAATAATCCCTTTAAAAAATAGTAATAATAATTTGGTCCTCAATCCATGACTGTTTTGGGGATACTGCTGTGCATAATCGGTTGCCGCCTTTTGCCCACTCTATTCACTTTACAATATATTCTGTAGAGACCTTGATTTTAAAGAGTATCTAAATTTCCTGAGTTGGAAGATTCCAATTAACATATTTTCAAAAATTGTCTGTATTTGATTTACCTGGAGATTAGGGCCCCCAGATTTCACCTAATCTTAACCTCTAAAATAATTTTGTCTTAAAATGTAACATTTTACAAAATTATGGCAAATTTGTAAATTCAGTCTTGATTTGGCAGCTGGTTTTCTGCAATTATTCAGAAGGCTTAACTTCCAAATTAAAGCTGAAAAGAAGGATTACTTACAATTCAGCATGATTTATGTGAGTAGGTGGCTTTTGGGGCTTTGGGTGTTTCAGGCTATATTTAAAAATAAAACCCTCTATTCCTGTTTCCCAATCAAAATAAAACTCTTCTGGTATATCAATTATCGTAGATTTTCCTTGTAAATTAATTTTCTCATAAACTCCTATATAAAAGTGCAACAAGAAGCAATTACCATTTCTAATTACAGTGAAATTCGGTTAATTGAATATCAGATAATTGAATAGTTTGTTTTATTAAAATTTAGAGCTCAGAGATGAGTTTTCTCTTGTGTTTAGTCCGGTTATATGAATAGTTTGGTTTATTGAATTTTCGCTGTCAAGTTGAGTGTTCAATTAACATAATTTCACTGTAATAACTTCATGCAATCTGTTTCCATTCAATTTTTTTTCAGAAGTAACGATTTTAAGTTCAATCTCTGTCCAGTCACTGTTTCATTAGTGGTCTGTGGTTTATTTTTTCTTTCTATCACTTGCACATTAAAATACTCAGTTACTTTCACAAAACGTATGAATGAGCTGAGACTTGGGACAACAAGAGTCAATGGAGAATAATTGGCAACACTCCCCGATCTATCACATCCTGTCCAAAATGTAACCAAGCCCTGAAAAATAAACACCTTGGTTCTTGGTGGAGTTTTTAGTACCAGAACAAGAGAAAAATCTAAACTTTGATTTTTTTTCTGCTTGTTTTCCTAGTTTTGTTTTCCTGTAAAGATATTTGTTGATCAAAGTTTGTAAATATTGTCCAAGGATATGGAAATGTTGAACCACAGGTGAAGCCTGTTGTAGTGCTCTTCGGTCTCTTGTGGACCTACATTAATGGACTTCTGATTCTGATGCTAAAAAATGACCAACTTCCATATTATCAGTTTGCTACTGACATCACTTCCCATACGTAATGTATAATGCGTAGGCAGCCTTGTGATGCCACTTGCTGTGCACTGTGCAAGCCGCTATCTGCAAAAGGCACCATTGATGTCACTTTGTAAAGGACACATGGCTTAGGTTTAACCAATTTGCATTCTAATGGGATTGTGAGGTATTTGAGGGACTCGATCTTAATAAACCAGGCTCAATTCATAAGACTCTTCCAACCGGCAGACGGGAATAAATTCACACCAGGTTTCAGAGAGTTTTGAGTACTTTGAGACGTTACCCTGCATGGAGAGCGCTATATAAGTGCAAGTTTTTGTTGAGATGAAAGGACATTTCTGCTTAGTAATTTTTATCACAGTAAACTAAATGCCAGTGTGAACCTCAGATTACCATGAATTTCAAAAGTGTGCTCTTAACTATTTTGTTTTCATAGTTCCATGCTGAAGGAACCCAGTATAGAAAGTCTGCAGGCTCTGTGTGCACTGGGCCTTTCCAAGAAAGATGTTACACTCACCACAGCAGCACTTAAGGAACTGTTGAAGCACCAGAACAAAACCGATTCAGCATATGAAACCTGCCTTCTTGCTTCAGGGATATATTCTTTGCAAGGTAACAACTTGGCTGTACAAAGGCAGGCAGCCAAAGCAGTTCATAGGTAAGACTGAGTAGAAAGCTTATATGATTTTTTGATTTTCCTGTATGTTTACTTTTCAAGTACAAATTAGTTAAAGTGATATTACAGTAAGTCCTGTGTCTTCAACAAATAACTTGAGTACTATTGTTTACTGATTAGCATTGAAATTATTTATTAATGAAATCTAATTTAAAGACTGTTTAAATGGCTTCTCTAAATCCATTCCAATGTCGGTAATATGTTGTTGTTTTCAGCTTGACATTTTAAATCACAGGTGACAATTAAAAGCATTAAATATTCCTCAATCTTCATCATAAATTACATTTACAGAATTCTGATCTTCAAATAAAAAATGTTGGTACAATATTTAGCACACTTCTTAAAAAGAAATACACATCACATGAGCCCTTTACAGCAAACTGTTCATTGGCACGTGCTGCATAATTTTTAATCATCATTCCCTTGAGTAAATTGTATTAAATAAATGTTCAAGATAAATATATTACAAAGAATGAGAGGAGCTGAGCCATACCAATTTTCCCTGCTGATATCCAGCTCTGTCATACGGCTGTGGGAAAGTTCCTGCTGCAAACCATCCTATACTCCGTGAAAGGACATGTACATTTAGAGCAATATTGGAAAGAAATGTAATTGAGGTATACTTGGGTAAAATCATTTAAAAAAAACTTTTTTGGGTGAAATTACCTGTATGATCAATCTATCCATTGTCACTAATGGAACGGAACAGTCCAAAAATCATTGAAATCCTGATAATTTATTTTGTTTATGTTGCATTGTGTTTCATAAAGTGCAGCAAATTTTTTATATATAATTGCAAATAATTACTCTTTAGAAATCATTACTCTTTAGAAATGTTTGATGATTCTTATATTCTTATGCTGCACTTGCATCTGCATCGATACATTATCTTGCTTATGTTATTGCAACAGAACCTCAATATATTTTTGAAATGTTTGGGGACTGATGTTTCTGCTTGTATATGTCAATATTATAGTCTTCGCATTTTGTTTCTTTAATGTAATTGTAAAATTGGAGAAGAAACGTTATTACAAAGTGAATAATGTCTTTTTTCACAGCAATCCTAGTGATCCTGCTCTTTGGACATTGTTATCCAGACTTGTTCCACAATACGCTCCTCACAATGCAAACGTGAGTATCTTATCTTTATTTAATCCATTGCTGGAGAAGGCAGTCATTTTTTTCAGTGCTTTTGGGAGAAGAATTATCCAATGTCTGTCTTGTAATAATCAGCACAATTTGCTAAACCCTATAAAGATTCAACTACATTTCTGTAGTGCAACTAAATTACATTTATATGCCCTTTTTCCCTAATTTCCTTAACATGATTTTGCAGCATATTTTCATCTTCAACCCCCACCCCATGTTTTAGGTTAATCTCTCTCTTCCACACTGTCCAAAACGCGAAAACAATATCTGGTGGAGATCTCCTTATGAAGATGAATCCTTCAAAATTAAATTTAGAAATCTTCTGCTTCAGAACCCTGCACTTATTGCTTGAATGACCAGGCCTTCCTTGTAAAAAGTCTTTTTACAAGGAAGTTCCTCTGGCTCCGGTCCACTCCACATCCCCCCGCCCCAACCGCCCTATCATCGGTGGCCGGGCCTTCAGCCCCTAGGCTCTGGAACTTTATCTCCCAGTGCCTTCGCCTTGCTTCCTCCCTTTCCTCCTTCAAGGCCGGTCTCAAGACCTTGCTCTTTGACCGTGCCTTCAGCTCCCCTCTCAACTCTCTACCCCCTCCTCGCCCCCTCCCCTCACCCTGACCATTTCCCCCCTGCTCGGGTCCCGACCCAACTGTCCAGCGCTTTGGGACGTCCTCCCAACGTGAAAGGCGCTCTATAAATGGAATCTTGTTGTCTTTTTGGCACAGGTTCTAGACAAAATAAAGATTTTTTGTTTGTTTGATAGTTAGAATTGAATAGGTTCTGGATGTTTCCAAGTTTTATTTATAGTATAGTTATTATGATCTGATCAGACTAATATTGGTATTCTGCACATTTCATTTATACTGATATGATCAGAAAACAGTTCTTTGTACTTTATTTTTGATGATAGACCAGCCAGCCTGACCAGTTGGTTGATCAGGAAGAACAGACCACTCATTGGGGAGCTAGGGTTCTTCCCACTTGGCTCTTGCTAACCCTGCAGTCTGTAAACCCTGATGGGTAGAGTGATCCTAGATGAACATGCAGTGAAAAGTGTACAGTGCTCTGCAGGTAGGCTGCACATGTTTTAGCCAGTTAAATTCCAGGAATTCCATATCTCCAATGTACATGCTGGGTCCTCAAGCCTTGACTTGTACGAACTTGCATCTGACTTCTCCAGGATTAGATGAGCAGGATCCATCCCTTTGGGGAAAGAATTCACACCACATCAGATCAATTAAGCCATATATATGTGGAAATCTCTAGTTTGTTTGGAAACTCAAATGTGGTGATGGGTTTCCGCATGTGTCAGATATGCAGCTGACTAAAAAAAACTACTTTTTTAAACTCATTTTTTCTCTTTCTCTTTGTAGGGTGGGGCATTGGTTGGCAACACTGCACAGATTCTCAATTTTCATCATCCAAAGGTAAACTCAAACAGAAATAGGAATTCTGGCCGAAGTTTATACTATTATGTTTTCAGTCTTACAAGATCAGTTGGATCGTTACGTCAAATAATATAATTCTGAACATTTTGTGAGTTATATCCTAAATATCTTTTATAGAAGGCTCTTCTGTTCAGTGCTGTAAACCAGATTGCAGCAGGTAAACACGTAGCAGAGGATGAAAACAATAATGCATTAAAGACTGCCCAAAAGGTGGCCCATCTGTATCCAGGTAATGATTCCAGGCTTTGTTGCTTTCAAATTTATTTGAAATGTACACACCTTTGTTTACTGAGTAGTAAGTATTGACCCGGTTGTTAGTCGATTGGGGAATCGCTTTTCCGGAAGTAATAATTCCTTCCCCAAAAAAATATTAAATTGGTCACTTCAATCCACGACTGTTTGAGGGACACTGCTGTGTGCAATTGGCTGCTGCGTTTCGCCCACAAAATATACAATCAATTCACTTTACAGTATATTCTATGAAGTGCTTTGAGACGTCTTGAAGACGTGATGAGGTGCTATTTCAAATTCAAGGATTATTATTCCACAGTTTGAACCAAATAGTCCTCTACCAAAGAGTTGAAATTGAACCTCAATTTTTAGTCTTTCCGACATTTACTCGCCTATCCTAAACATGTATCTGTACCCAGACTCTTCTAGCCCCCAGTGTCTTTATTTATACCTCCTATGCTGCCTGTTAGCACCAAGTTAATGATGCACCTGTCGGGTATTTATCCACACGAAAAAGAGTTAATCCTTATTGACCCACATCATAACCACACTGAGACCTAACATTTGATGTATGAGGGGACTTTACTTTTCTCCTCTCGAGCTGCTCCTGTTAATGGGTGTTTCTTTGACGAGCAGAGAAATCCAGCTTCTCGTGCTCGGGTTTTACCCAACGCCAGAGTAGAGGCCGGCACAATCGCGGTCAGCCTGGCTCAGTGGTAGCACTCTTGGCTCTGTGTCAAAAGCTTGTGGGTTTTAAGCCCCACATCAGGACTTGGAATTACATAGTCTAGACTGACACTCCAATGCAGTTCTGGGGTGCACTGCATTGTCAGAGGTGGCATTGTTTGGTTGAGACATTAAACCGAGGTCCCATCTGCCTGTTCAGGTGGATGTTAAAGGACCAATGTCATTATTCAAAAAGAGACAGGTGTTTCTCTCTCCCAGTGTTCTGACCAACAATCTCCCAAATAAAAACAAAATTGGTCACTCACTCCATGGCTGCTTGTGGTACAATACTGTGTGAAACTGTCTGCTGTATTTAGCCCACAAGATATACAGTCAATCCACTTTACAAAAAAACAATAATAAATTGGTCATTTTCAATCTACAACTGTTTGTGGGACATTGCTGTGCGCAATTGGCTGCCGCGTTCGCCCACAAATATATACAGTCAATTCACTTTACAGTGTGTTCTGTGAAGCGCTTTGGGACGTCCTCCCGATGTGAAAAGCGCTATATCAAATGCAAGGATTATTATTATTATTATTTACAGCATATCCTGTGGAGTACTGTAACCCAGTGGTTAGAGCATTCGCCTCACAAACTAGAGACCTGGTTTGATTCCCGGCAGGGTGAAATGTTGGGCAAGTTTCCTTACTCAACACGCCTCTGTTTACCTAGCAGTAAATAGGAACACTGTTGTTCTGTGAAGCGCTTTTGAGACATCTCAAAGACGTGATAAGGCGCTATATCAAAGGATTATTATTATTTCCCTCCCTCTGGTAGCCTTACGGAGGACCCCATCTCTCTGGTACTGCCCCATAATGTGCTTGAAGGAAAGATTTAGGTGTTCAGCCCAACTCATTTGTTAGCATTGCTGTCTCAGAGTTGGAAGCTTGTGGGTTCATTGCTCAGAACAATTTCCAGGTTGATTTTAGAGTAGTTATGTTACAAGAGAGCTTTTTTAAGACTCTCTGTAGTTAATTTTTTGTGTGATTTTATGATCAAGAACAAAAGGAGCCAATTCAATGGTGGCCCCCCCTCCCCGAGTCCAGCAGAACCTGAATGAACAATCTGCCGTCTTGTTCTCTCTGTACAAGTGTTAACGTTTCTCAACAGGGAAGTGCAGCTTATCTGGTAAACATGGAAAACAAAAATTCCCCAACTAACTGCACAATGGATTGAAATTGATACAAGGCTTTTAATGGACTTTTTCCTGGAAACTTAAAGCGATTTTTATCAGTAACAGAACAATTAAGAGTATGAGCCCTGACTTTTACTTTCTGTTTCTCATTGTTTGCCTGAAGACTAGGCAAAGTACTCCACAAGCACAACAGAAAGCATGGGCAGAACTGCATTATCCAGAGTTAGGCTTTAATATTATTTGACTTGGAAATTCTCAAGTGTTTCAATAGAACCTAAATCAGTTTGCGGGCACTGTGTCTATACTGAGGTGGTGCAAATTGGTGTGTTGCGTCCTCAAGGGACTCCGTTTTTAGGTTCCAGTGCTGTTCACTTCAGAATTGTGCTGTTCAAACCAAACTAATTAATTTCTCTGTCGCTACACCTTTAATGAATTATGACACAAATGTGACTATTCGGTGGCTTTAAAGCATATATTATTGTTTTTAGGTAAGTTGATTTAAGAAGTGAAATATCATTCTAGTAAAATATATCTGGTAACAAGAAATTACTGTTATTTGATGTGTATCAACACTTACATTTATTGTGTTATTTTGGGGTGGGTGGATTTGTTTTGCAGATGATCCAGCTGTGTGGACCAGTTTAATGGCAGCCTGTCACACAGAAAATACGGTATCGCATATAAAAGAGAGAAAACCCAAACAAACTGCCTTAGAAGAATTGTTTCTGACAGTTGTCATGACAAAAGGTATGTGATACATTTTATGGCTTTAATTAGCAAGATAGTTTGCCTGTGAGGGATAAACAGCATTCTTTCACTTTCACCTCTCCATATGCCATGGAGAAACTTCATTAAATTAGACCTGCAGATGGGACTGTAATAGTCCCATCTGCAGTTGAGTCATAGACAGGAACTGTGCGAAGTGCAATGAAGTCTATAATTTATTCACATGTTGCGATACTTTCTTTTTGAGGTAGGCCTGGGAATTTTTAGAAATCGAGCAAGTCTTCAATTATGTGTCCATGAAAAAGAAGTGAAGAGAGGGGACAAAGAAGGATGGAGGCTTTTTGGGGGCAGCCGGGTTTCTGACACGTGTGGAAACCCATCACCATGCAAGGGCTACTTTTGATGTAATTTAATATTTGTATTTTATAGTAGAAGCAGACAAGACTCTCCCAGCTCCCTATCTTCAATCCTTGGAGAGCTGGTCTCTTCAGCAGGCTGTAACGGGACTGAATGAATTGGGCAAACGTGCTGAAGCTGAAGCCATCTGTGCTAAAGTAATGTAATGTTTCAAATATCAACTTTGTTGGGAATAGCAAATTAACTTATTACATATATCTCCACTATGATTGGTGACTGGATTAATAACATTCAAAACAGCTGATTGATTTTGTATTCTTACATCAAAGGAGATGTTTATTTTTAATTGAAAGAAACTCAAATTGGTGGGTAACAGAAAATGACTTAAAGCGAATGTCTTATCCAAAATTAACTGCAGAGCCTTTTCTGTGGAAAGTGTTTTGTTTTATGAGCTTCAATTCATTTATGAAAATTTACTGTACTGTTCTTACGTATGAAATATTTGGGCAACCTCTTTTCTGCAATTACAGCCACTAGTACAATATCATCTAGCTTGTCAAAAATGGCCACTCCAGCCCCAGCATCACAAGCTGCAAGTTCTTTTTATATTTAGTTTTATATACTCCTTTTGGTGATAATCCACAGAAATGGGGTCAATTGCTACAAGATTGCGGATGACACCAAATCTATTTTTTTTTCTCCATTGGTTATGACCCTAGGTCCACTGATCTATCCAGTTGTTTATCAGACATCAAGGCCCCAATGAGTGCCATTTTTTCTACAGCGGAACATGGACAAGACAGAAGCCATCCTCCTTGGCTCCCGTCAATGTCTTCTCTGCAGCGCCAACCTCCCTGGCCAACCCTTCAGACTTACAGAGCCTGTCCTTCAGACTTACCAAAACTTATGCGGAACATGTCCCGGATCGATCCTCAGTAGTCATACCCCTCACAGTCCTTGACCGATTGCTCCACATCACCTGCCTCCTCACACCCAACTTTGCTGAAACCCTCATCACGTCAAACTACTGTATACATTGTTCAGTGCTCGGAGACACTTCCCCATGTGAAGGGCTCTATATGAAAGCAACTTGTTGAGTTTTGAAAAATGTATAAAATATTTGTTGTACTGAATAAGTGAACGTACTGAAGAATTCCTTTAATTGTAGGTCCTGAAGAAGCAACCAGATCAGCCTATGATGTTCTTACTGCTGAGACAGGTTCAATGCGAACAACTCTTGGTTTCACATGAACGGCTCCCAGAAACCATTCTGGAAGAGCTAAAAAAGGCAGTCATGTCCAACTTCACATCAATAACAGCTTGGCATGTAAGTTATGTTGTCTGTACATTATTAAATTTATTTTATTAATGTATTGTCTAAAATGATCGCTTTTTTTCACCTGTAATTTAAAACAGTTTATCTCATTTAAAGCCAAATTTCAATAAGTTAACTCGAGATACATTAGATTTATTTTGAACGCTAAGATCAGGCAGTTATTCAATTTATGTACAATATTGTTAATGGAGATACATAACAATGAGGTTGTTAATGGAGATACATTGTTATGTATCTCCATTAACAACCTCATCAAGTATAGTTTTAAAAACTTTGAAACGTCTTCCATTCAAATGAACATCATGAGCATCATCTGATTGAACCCTTGGCAAAACTTGGTATCTCTTCAAAATGTTATTCAAAAAACTTCATGAGAGATCACTGGACATACTGTGTAGATATTTTGTACTTGAATTCTAGATGTGTCACCATATCTTCAAAATGTACAGTATGAAATCTGAACCCTCTGGACTTTCTCTTAACATAGTCTAATTTATTCACAAATTATAAATTAGTTGGCTGCTCATATTGTTTAAGGGAAATTGCTGATGCATTTGTCTAAAATTCAATTCATTTCTAAGCAGTTATGCTTCATAAAGTATTTCAGGATTGTTAATTTTTTGACCGTTGCTATTTTAATGCAAGTTATTTATTATCTTTTGAAGGTATTGGCAACCTTACCTGTATCCATAGATACTGACATGAGGCCTCAATAAATTAGACGTCAACTTCTAACCAAGTTTTACCTATCCTGGTTTTGTTTTATTTGTAAAACAAGCCAGCATGTGGCTCATATGACTGCATTCACAAGGAAGGATTTTTTTAATTTCTAGTTTAAAATTTACATTTGTTTGTAACATTCACAGGAGGGGTCCTGTAGCTTAGTGGTTAGAGCACTTGCCTCGCAAGTGAGAAGACCTGGGTTCGATTCTTGAGCAGGGTGAAATGTTATGCAAGTTTCCTTATTCCAAACGTCTCTGTTTACCTAGCAGTAAGCAGGAATCCATTTGTTAGTCGATTGGTAGATCGCTCTTCCAGGGCTAATAACCCCTTCAAAAAATATATAAATAAAAATAATTTGGTCACTCAATCCAAGACTGTTTGTGGGACACTGCTGTGCACAATTGACTTCCGCATTTCGCTCACAAATATACGGTCACTACACTTTACAGTATATCCTGTGAAGCACTTTGAGATGTCTCGAAGACGTGATAAGGCTCTATATCAAATGCAAAGAGTATTATATCAAATGAAAAGATTATTATTGCTTTAACAGGTTTGACTGAATTTAGATTTAGCAAAGACAGTAGCCTGTGCTAAGGTTCTCAATATTTGTGTCTATTTTCTAGTGGCTAGCAGAAGTCTATAAATCTCACGGATTAGTGGGAGCTGCAGAGATGTGCTATAGACAAGGACTACAAGTTTCTTCAAAGCAAGGACAGTTGAACGGCAAGTTGGCGAGTCTACTCCAATTAGCATTGCTAGCACTCAAACTCAGTCCAGTAAGAAAATCTGAATTACCTGTTTTTTTCTGCAAGTGGGTGAAGTACATGACAACTCTTTTATTGGTCAATTGCCATAGAAACGTTGAAAACTTTTTGATTTCAACTCTCTAGATTTTTCTGCTATAAGCAGTTTATGACAAACTACAGTAATTTACACTTTTAACTGGAACTAGATCACAGAGTAAATACTTTTCAGACTGTGCCAAAGACCATTGTAATAAGATTGCACTTACTTGCACATTGTAGCACTGCATCTTTTATTTGTTGAAGAGTTATTTTTACACAATAAGAATGTTAAAATCATAGAAATGTAAATATTTGTAAATAAGACCTTGGTTGGTGCATCTAACAATGGAAAAATTATGTGGATACATTTTACCTTTAATATATGCATTAGGATGGGCAAAAATAGATGTAACCACGGTGTGTATGTGTTTTTTTTTCTTTTGACTAGGTTAAACTTCAGAAGAATCGATGGCCATCACTAGTGAAGGAGGCAACTGGTGAAGCTCAAAAGATCTCCTTCTGTCCTCTTGCTAACCTTTTCCAAGCACTTCTACAATTTATAGTTAAATTAGGTGCAAGGTAAGAGAACCTAGCCATCAAGGAAATATGAAAATAGTGCTGCTATGTTTACATCAAGGTATTCAAAATGCCTGATTGCTGCCCAGAACAAGTTTAATTGATAAGTAGGTTTTGGGATGGTCTAGCCTGAGCGAGTATAAAAGTTGCATTAACTTTCCTAATTGAACAATCTAAACTCAAAACTTTGAAGCACTTAACATAGTGAGCAACATTGGTGTTTGATGCGTCAAATGATATTTGAAAATATGTCTGAAACTGGAATATTTATAGCAAACGTTTGTCTATTTTACACAATGTAATCTTTTTGTAAAAATGGAGCCAGCAGTGTTCAAACCTGTTTTTAAAACACAGCCAATCAACTAAATGTTAGTACATTGCATCTTATTTTATAAATGGTTATCTTAGAGGTGGGAGAACAGAGTTTTTTTGCCTCAACCATTTGGACTGACAGGTATTTCTACAAAAAAAATCACTTTTAGTGAAAGTGGTATTCCGGTCAGCACAAGAGGATAGGAGAGATTATTTTGTGGAGGGAAAGTGGAGAAAGAGAAATACTGCTGCATTTCTCCCACAAATATACAGTCAATTCACTTTAGAGTCTATTCTGTGAAGCACTTTGAGACATCTAGAAAATGTGAAAGCGCTATATCAAATGCAAGGATTATTACAAGCAGTTTGACTGGATGATCTACTGGATTTGAAACACTGACATTAATTGACAAATTTACAAAACGTGAACTGCTTCAAACACAAACAAGTTCATTTCTGGTTTTTTTTTGGTTGTGATCTGCCCTACAGGGAGACTCGCAGGTTACTGGAGAGAGTGGTGTATCAGCCCGGATACCCAGAAAGCATTGCATCTGTCGGACGCTGGTACCTCCTTCGCCATTTGTGGGTCAAAAATGATGATGAGCTTATCACAGTAAGATTGCTAATTTATCTGAATGATATCCTGGAATTTTTTTAAGGGGAGGATTATTCCTCAGTGATGTTGATTTATATAGATTTCCTGTATTTTAAAACTAAATGCAAATATTTGATAGATTCACTATCAAATGTGCAGAGCAAATGAGGTTTCAGGTGATGCAGATTGTGCAAAGATGGCACTCCTGCCACCACTAGAGGAAATGGTATCAGGATTAGTGGGATTCATTCACATTCATGCAGTATAAAGACAATTAATGTGAATTGCATTGGACTCACTCACCGAGTTCTGATTAAACTCTCGATTGTCATTCGGGTGTTTTTAAAGCCTATTTAGAAAGTTTGTCTTAACATTAATGCTTAAATACTTCTGCCAATATCTCTTCCCCCAACACATTGCTCAACAGACTCCCCAGCTCTTCCCTATACAAGTTGCAGACCATCTAGAACTCTCAGCTTGTGTAATCTCTGAGACCAAGCTCTGCCATCCATTCACCTTCATCCACTAGCAAATTGAATTTGAATTCAAATCCCTCCATGGCCTCATTCCACTCTACATCTGCGACCTCCTGCAACCCTACTAGATCAGCCGCGCTGTCAATTCACCTAACACCAACTTATTACACATCTAATGAACGACCTACCCCACCATTGTCAGGCAAGCTCTCAGCCATTCTGCCCCCACTCTCGGGAACACTCTCCATCCTAGAGTCCCTCCATTCACCCCTTCCATTTCTACCTTTAAAGCCTCCTTTAAGACCTATCCTTTCAACCATACTCTTCTTGCAAATTTTTCCCACTGTGCACCAGCTCAGCTGCTCAATCAACTGTATAAAGAACTTTGAGACGTTCTCCTGAGGTGTATAAAGGCACATATGTTGTGCTTGCAGCAAGGTTTTTTTCCAACTCCTCTGAAAGCTGTGCAGCAGGTAAAACCCAGGGCCTTCTTGCACATTGCTGTTCATCAGATGGGATAGCTAGGTAGCTGATCTGTACCATGATAAAAACAACATAATTGTTGCAATTAACCTCAGTGCCTTTGAATTATTATGAAGTTAAAAAATATTCCAGATTTCTTGTTCCCATTTGCTATCTGGTAACACTTGTGTGGTTAGTTTGGGCAGAATCAGGCTGGACTGATGTTTTCTCCCAGTTCACAGCCTGTTGACACTCGTGTGTTCAAGAATTGAGTTTTCAATTGAGTGAAACATTCAATAGCTGTTGGTGCCTCCAGAAACATGCATTAGCATCAGTCTTTTCAGGAGAAGCGGGGAGGGGAAGAATCTGGAGGTCTGGATAGTACAAGTATTGGAACTACCATATTGTCTTTCTGTAACATTTACTCACATTTCAAGTTAGCAATCTCTGGTGAAGAACTGAACAGAGCCCAGAAAATTATCACTCCAGGTGTTTTTTGGACTTGCTCAGCCTGTCACCCAGAAAAACAACAAGATTACATTTGTATAGCGCCTTTCACGTCGTGAGGACGGCCCAAGGTGCTGGACAGTGTACAGCATTTCAGACCTGAGCTGGGGTCAGGGAGGGGGAGGGGAAGGGGGGTGATTAATGGCATGGTCGAAGAGGAGGGTTTTGAGGCGGGACATCTGGTTCAAAATCTGAGAAGTTACTGGAGATATAAATTGGCTTCATATGAACTCCTAAATTATATATTTTTAAATTAAATCTCATCCACTTGCAGGTTTTACTTCAAGATGCCAAATTGAAGGGAGATTGCCGAATAGAAGAGCTGTATAAGAAGCTTCAGATGGAATCATCCTAGTAAATGTGCAAAAGCCATGTCTGGATCCTGAAAACCTATGTGAAAAAGCCCTGTATAAGAACTATAGCTAACTATAGCTAATTATAGTTATGGCTTTTAATATTCTGCTTTCAATTGTCAAATGGCAACGGCTAGGTACATGTTTGCTTGTACTGTTATTAAAAAAAAAGTTAGTACTTTGCTGATGTACATTTCATGGTACAGTACTATAACGCTAAGTTAAAGTATTGTCATATCTTTTACATCTGAGAAATCTGTCACAGACAAGAAAGCTGCATCGTGATTTTCTAATTCTTGGCTAAGTAAGCTAATTATAGCTTAGCTGCTGATCTGTAATATTTCAGTATGAACACAAGAATCATGTTTCGGCATATTTACAGCGAGTCAATGGGATGTCAACTGAATTAAAACTGCGCCCACCTCATGTTTTCGTATTGAAATCTGAAGTTGTACTGAATTAATTTGTAGCATTTTTTTGATTTGTTCTTTCATTTAGTTTTACAAAGCATTTATAGTACCTTTATAAACACTTCGATAGCAGCAGTATATCTGACTGGGGATTTGAAGGACTTTGAATGTGACTTGCTTGATAGGGCTGTCAATGCCACTTTATTAATGCAGTTAGTTGCATCATAGACGAACCTAAAGGAGAGTAACTGAAAATGGAAGAGCGAAGGGAGTAGGGAATAAAAACTGTACACTACTAAGAAACATTCATTGTTTAAATTAGCAGTATGTGACAATTGAAGGCTCTCTCCAAATGTTATTGTGGGGTGAAATTTTTAATGTTTCACACCTGATTACTTGTGGTAACTATCCGAGTGAATGCGTTATGAAATGCCGTAAATGTACTCCTTAATGATTGCCCATATTATTTATCTGCCCATCAGTTCTATCTCTGCCTTGCTCCCAAGGATGCCACATCTGTTGCCAAGTTGAATTCTGGATCCTGTGGCGTTTACTCAATTCTGCCAGTATTGAGGCAGGTGATTCCATTAAAAATATTGGCGTAAACACTTAATTATTCAGGTTCTTGTTGCATGGCAATGAAATGCTACTATTATGCCCCAAAAAACTAAGTCAGACCAGGCATTCCCCTAGAGATAGCCATTATACTGAGGCTAGCAGGAGGAGGAAGAGTTCAGCTATTAAGAGAGACTTGAGCATTATGCACAAGCATTATGCTTGACCTGATAGAGGTCTCCATGATATGAAGGGTGAATAATGGATTAATTCCAGTGATCAACAAACCAGGCCACAAATTTAAGAAAAACACAAACCACTGAAAAGGTAGTTTAAAAAAACTTGCAATATAATTTACATTTATACAGGGCCTTTCACAACAGGAGAATGTCTCAAATGGCTTTATACTGCTGTCTGTATTTGTAGGCAATCTCAGCCACCTTTCCACACGGGATGGTTGGAATGCGGCAATCTCTGCCTCTGTGGAACTAAGCGTTCATAAAGTCTTTAAAAAAAGAGCTGGATGCTTCAGAGGTAGAATATTGAAGGGTATGGGAAGCAAGTAGGATGGTGAGATTAGATTGAGTGGACAAGATTTACTACTTTCAGTGAATAACAAGAGTGGTCTTTCAGAGAAAATACCATCAGAAGATGAGAAAGGAGAAAATTGGTAAGAATATATACTTTTGGTCAACTGGGTGCCTGACACATGCGGAAACTATGCTTAACCAGACTTAATCCAAACTGTAGTTCAATGCATCCCACCAACACAGGAAATTTATTGGAATGGAATGCACACTCTCCCTGGAGGGATGCATCATGCTTATTTAATTTTTTTTATTGTGCCACTCAATGAACACTCACTCCACTGATAGGATACATGATCTTTTTGTTTGTGATACTATTCTAGCAATACAGGGTCAGCAGAGGTCCCACGTGTGATAATCCTTGTATTTGATACAGCATCTATATTTCCAGTGTCTCAAAGCACTTACCAAATAATTATTATTAAGTATATTGGCTATTTGTAAACTATTGTAGAGACAATTGTGAGCACAGAAAGGTCCTACATATGTGTATTGAATGACCAATTTATGAATAGTCATGGATATTTAATAATCCCTCCAAAACAATAATACTTTGGTCATTTTCAATCCAAGACTGTTTGTGGGACACTCCTATGTGCAATTGGTTGCCGAGTTTCACCCACAAATATACGGTCAATTCACTTTACAGCATATTCTGTGAAGCGCTTTGAGATGTCTAGAAGATGTGAAAAGTGCTATATCAAATGCAAGGATTATTATATATTTATTGTATACCTAAAGAACAAGCAGATTATAGATCAGCCTATATTAAAAAAAAGGCTGTTCTCACAGAGCTTCAAGTCCAATCAGTGCTGATTGAAGACAAAAAAAACTCCCACCAGCAAGGAACACTACAAACATTTTACCAATGGACAAGACCTCAACTCTGAACCATCACCTTGATGGTGTGGGCTCACAAATCAGTGTACGTAATTGGGGCTCCCTGGTGGAAAGGAAAGGAACTTTATTGGTAAGATTTTTAATAAATGTAAAGACATAGGAATTTATATCATGTGAATGCAGACAAATATTGCAGCAGATTTTTGCTAAAAGATGTTACCTTGACAGAAAATGATTAAGCTGTCTTCTGGTATATGATAAGCTAACGGTTTCCTGAATACTTTCACGGAACAATAAATTTTAGTGCATTGGGTCATTAATATAGCATTTCACAACCAAAGTAAATATTGGGATTAAATGTATTTTGAAGACAGTTTAATAGCTAACAAATTCAAAGATATTTGAAGAAACATCAATGGAGCTCATGGATTTACATAAATCACTCCCTCATCTAGTTCAATGTCTGTCTTATGGTGCAGCTTTTTGACCAAACTTTCAATCAATTTTCCCCCTTCAGCTTCCACCCTCAGTTCAGATGCCCATCCAGCCGTACCAAGCCTTTAGAACGACTTCCTGATGTGAAAGGCACTGTTTGTATGTGAGTTTGTATTGTAAACTATTGTCAGAGAAAATTGTGCAATTAACCAGGGTATTCAAGTGGAGAAGTGCAACAATTTTCCAAAAAGCAACAATTCTTATTACCAATTCGCAAAACAAATAAAAATTAACAGACATAGCAGCTGTATTGAAAAGTAAACACAATTGTTGCTTGCGATAAATGTTTTATTGTGTCAATTATTTACTAAGAAAATGACAAAAGACAATTAAAAAAAACATTAGCTCGATTAAGTAAGCACAATCATATTTTCTTCAAATGTAAAACTGTTTCAAAATGTTCATTGACTTATGGGAATATGTAGGATTGGTTGCAACTTTCAAGAGCAAATTCATTGCAAAAAAAAAACCAAGATGTGCGAGAAATCAGTATGCAAATAACCAAATTAAATAAATGATTTACATTATAAAAATTCATACGTGAAAATGGGAAGTCCAATTTATGATATGTAATAAGTGGATTCATATGTACTTTATCAAAATATGAATAGATTGATGGAACTTGCCTGCCTTGGCTTGAAGTTTTATGTGTGCAAGTTTCAATAAATAAAGTAGATAGAATGCCTGGCCACGTTGCCAAATCCCTTTGGTTGAGCTCAAATTTCCATATTATACTGAAGCTTTATAGTGTTCTGGTCAGGCAATTCTTACTGAATACTGCCTATAGTTCCAATCTGGTTCCATACTAAACCTGCCCTTCACAACCCTGACCCTGTGATCACAACAAAATTACATTTGTATAGTGCCTTTCACGTCGGGAGGATGTCCCAAGGCGCTGGATAATCAGTGTTTCAGACCCAAGCTGGGGTCGGGATCAGTGAGGGTGATCAAAGACACAATTGAAGAGGAGGGTCTTGAGACAGGTCTTGAAGGAGGTAAGGGAGGGGGCGAGGCTGAGGGACTGCGGGATGGTGTTCCAGAGGGTGGGAACAGAGTGGCTGAAGACCCTAGAAGCCATCTAGAGAGTGACAAGACTTATCCCAGTGTTAGAAGGATGTTTTATAAGAAACAATTCCAGTAGCTGGAAAAGTAGAACTTTATAGAGGTACTGTATATAAGATATTTTGCATAATAAAGAAGGTAAACCAAAAACTATACTATTAGATATGCTAAAGCAACAGACCAAGAGATCACAGGGTCAGAGGTGTGAAGGGCAAGATTAGGATAGACACCAAATTGGATATAATGTGTATTTCTCACAGGAAGTTATTCAGCTGGAATGAGATTTCATGAAAAAAGGGCAAAGTGGAATGAAGCAGCACTTAGAGAAATCCAGTACTCATATGTGTTCTGGTAATGTCAATCTCATCTGTCAAATATCAAACTTACTGATAAAATACCAGTTACAGAAAAATTGTTGATTGTGTTCTGCCCAATAATCCCCCAAATAAAATTAGTCATTTCATGCCTGTTTGTGGGACATTGCTGTGCATAAACTGGTCACGTTTTGCCTACAAAATACAGTCAAGAACAAAAATACAATTACATTTGTATAGCACCTTTCAAGTTGGAAGGATGTCCCAAGGCGCTGGACAATCAATGTTTTGGACCCGAGCTGGGGGTCAAGATTGGGGAGGGTGGAGGATGGGGAAGGAGGGAATCGAAGGCATGGTCGAAGAGGAGAATCAAACCACTTTACAGTATATTCTGTGAATCGCTTTGAGACATCTTGACGTGACCCTATATCAAATGCAAGGATTATTATTAATAGTTGTGATTTAATGCAGCAATTACTATTTCTGCATTAAATCACAACTAGTAATAATAGTTGCAAAGGTGCATTTTAAAACATATTCTGGGTAAAGAGTAAATTTGTTCAGTTAGGTACTGAAAGAAAAATTTGCATGTTCAATCCTATATCAATAAACTGAAAATCTTTTTCTCACTTAATGTGGGTTTTACCCTCCACAGCATCAAACAACACAATTCTTATCTTCAAACATCTCAAAAATGCTGCACATTAACAGATCATCACACAAGTACAAAAATTACAATGAAATTTCATGAAAGCAATATATCAATTGTAGTCAACTGTTTGAATGTAAAGCAGTAATCTTAATTTTAAAGCGATAACTCGGGTTCAGATGATAAACATAAACTACTAAAGCTGCGTTCTTCTTTATGATATCTGAATCTCAAAGGGATTAAATTTCCAGATATCTTTTTCCTCGTTATTACAAACTTTATAAATAGTTTTTAAGGGCAATTATCTGTCGTCTTAGTTCTTTTAGTTCTTTCTGGACATTTTCCTTGTCCATTCTTATCTTCTTATCACTTATTTCATTCAGTGAACTGATGGAATCCTTAATAGACTGAAATCCTGTTTGGAAAAGGAATTGTATTTCAGATATATATTTGTATACACATTTTCATTTACTCGGCCAGGTAGATAAAATACCACGTGAGTTTGACACCAAAATGTGAAAAAAAAACTTATTAAATAAAAAAAGTATGCTCTTTACATTTATAGAGCATCTTTCATGTCGGGAGGACGTGTCTTAACAAAAAAGTTTATTTCTAAATTGATGTACTTAAGCTTGGACACAATATAAAAATATGGCCAAGTCACAGTATTAAAAATAAGCAGGCAGTGTCCCTCGAGAGAAAGAGTGCATGTTCCATTCCAGACATAGAGGAATGCCCATGTATAGGTGGCGTACATATAAGGAACACTTGTGGAGTCCTGTAGCTCAGTGGTTAAAGCATGCGCTTTGCAAGTGAGAGACCTGAGTTCAATTCCAGGCACAGGGCGATACCTCGGGCAAGTTTCCTTACCTCACACGCCTAATAATAATACTCCCTCCAAAAACAATAATAAATTGGTCATTTTCAATCTACGACTGTTTGTGGGACATTGCTGTGCGCAATTGGCTGCCGCGTTCGCCCACAAATATACAGTCAATTCACTTTACAGTGTGTTCTGTGAAGCGCTTTGGGACGTCCTCCCGACGTGAAAAGCGCTATATCAAATGCACGGATTATTATTATTATAGCACTCCGTTTGGTTTAGATAGTCTTCAGCATAGTGATGTCTCAGTCGGCTGATCAAGNAAAAAAAGTAGCATTTTGCAAAAATATATTTTTACAGTAAAACCTGTTTTCCTATTGTGATCATTCTTTCACTTACACTTTTAAAACTGGGGTGTAAATTTATAGTATTCTTATAGGAATCAGTTTTTAAAAAATTGTGCTTAATTGGAAAAGGAACTGAGATTGCTTATATATTCCTTATGGAGACAGTGATTCCCAGTGTTTTATGGCCAGCAACGGTTAGTTATTTGTACCTATGTGAAGCCAGCGAAACTAGATGTAGCTGAAATTGGTACCAACCAAGAAAGGGATTAATGAGGGCATTCTTATTATTATTAATAATAAATAAATAAGCCAGACAATTGACAATTTGTGCCATTGTTGTATCAAATTTCTTATTGAGTAAACTGGAATGCATGGGATTGAATTGATTCTGGGAATGTCACTTGTAAACTGTTTATTAAATATTCGTGTACATTTAGTTTTTCAAAGTGAGTGTATTGTCTGACAAATTGTACTTTATTCTGCAGATTAGAAAAATGTGATGAGGTAACACGCAAATAGATAATCCAGTACTGAATTAATTTTTGCTAATACAGTTCACCTGACTAGTCTCATTTGTTTCAGTTAGCTATGTGTCTAATACATACAAAAACCCATCACCAGGCTTAAACGTTTCCAAGCAAACAACAATAATTTATATGAGGCTCTCCATGATGCTACTTCACATGCAGGGCACTATATAATTGCAAGTTGTTGTTATACAGCACGTCTATTCTCATGATCAACAATTTACTTATATCCTACAACTACTGTAGTTAGGCTGCCGGTCCCTTTAAAACTGTTCCTCTTCCTCCCTGATATCAGATGACTCTGGCATCACTGAAGGGTTTGGAATTGCTAACAATTATAATGGAATTTACAGGCGGTGCCAAAAAAGAACATCCTATTTATTTGGAAACTTACATATGAATGTGTCATGTTAAACAAACCTGTTCAACTGGAATGAGCCACTCACCTGTTCTGTACTCCTCTTTCATGCTTTCCAACTCATACCAGATGCTATTTTCAGCTTTGGTAAGTTTTGCAGCAATCTTCGGTTCAGAGTGCTTCATTCTGTTGGATTCAGTATCAAGCCTTTGTCTACCTTCTAGATTTTCTAGTTTCAAGAAGACCTGGTTAAGCCGCTCTCGTATTTTTGTCTCTGTCATTTCCTGTAAAATACAATATCAACGACATTATTCACGTTGGATCATATGTAAGACAAGAAAGACTACTACAGTTCACCTGTCTGATCTTATTGTTTTTAGGTAGCAAGGTGTCTAATACATACCAAATCCATCATCATGCTTAAATATTTCCAATCAAACAATAATAATTTACATTTATATAGTGCCTTTCACGTCAGGAGGATGTCTCAAAGCACTTTATACAACTGACTGGGATCCCGGGGATGGGGGGATGGAATAGGTTTCCAAAAGTGTCATTAAAAAGATGAGTTTCAAGGCAGTAGTCTTAAGATGACTGAGAATTCCACATATACATGGTTTCCATTTGTTTATTATGGAGTACTTACTCTCCTCCTGTAGGATGCACCCTGCTTATCTAATCTTAGAGAATTAGGTGTTTGCTTGCCAAGGCTTGGGGACTCCAGAGTGTGCATTGGAGTACTGCTGAAGTTTCAACAACTAAACTCACCAAGTGGCACAACCTGCCATTGCAGAGAATTGGTAAGCTTCCCCCTACTTGCCCTGCTATGACAACCAAACCATTATCTTTTGGCTTGCAGGGTTATCTGGAGTTATCTGTTAAGAAACTCAACCCCTAGTGACTGATCTGCTCTTCTAGGTTCACCAATGAACCAAGCTGGCTAGTCCATCATCAACAATGCCTTGGAGTACTGCAGACCTGATACCCTCAGGAACTGGGCTAAGATTGCTACAGAGGATCAATTCAATTCCAATCTTCCTTTGCCAAGCATGTCACCTTGGAGTCAGCTCTGCCTACATCCTAGTTACATTCCATTTTCAATACTATCTCTTCCTATCTTAAACTTGTATAGTATAGGACTGTAGAGCAAGGCTGACACACCAATGAAGAGCTGGGGTGTTGCATTGTTGGAGGTGACATTAAACCAAGGCTCCATCTGCCTATTTAGATGGACATTAAAGACTCCACTGACACTACTAGAAAAGTGGAAGAAGCTTCTCCCAGTGTCCTGGTCAACAATCTCCCGAATAAAATTGATCATTTATTTAATTGCTGTTTGTGGGCATTTCTGTGCACAATCTCCTGCCACATTTGCTTATAAATATACAGTCACTCCATTTCACAGTATATCCTTTGAAGCACTTTGGGACATAGAATCATAGAATCAGAGAATTGTATAGCACAAAAAGAGGCCATTCGGCCCATTTTTGTACCGGTTCTTTGAATAGAGCAATTAACGTCAATCCCACTCCCCAGCCCTTTCCCCATCACCCTGCAAACCCGTCCTCCTCAAATACCCATCCACCGCATTTTTAAAAGTAGTTATCGAATCGGCCTCGACCACCCTTTCAGGCAATGCGTTCCAGATTCGAACAACTCGCTGCGTGAAAAAAAAATTCTCACCTCCTCTCTGCTTCTTTTAGACACTACTTTGATTCTGTGACCTCGAGTCACCGACACACCCACCAGTGGAAACAGTTTTTTCCTTTCTAACCTATCAAATCCCCTCATGATTTTGAAGACCTCTATTAGGTCTCCTCGTAACCGTCTCTGCTCCAATGAGAATAATCCTATCCTCTCTAGCCCTTCCTCATAATCAAGGTCCCTCATTCCTGGTACCATCCTCGTAAATCTCCTCTGCACCCTTTACAATGCCTTAACATCCTTCCTATAGTATGGTGCCCAGAACTGGGCACAGAATTCTAACTGAGGCCTAACCAGTGTTTTATAAAGGTTATTCATAACCTCCTGACTCTTGTACTCTATGCCCATATTTATAAAGCCTAGAATCCCATTTGCCCTTTTTACCGCCTTATTTTTCCTGTCCTGCCACCTTCAATGATTCATTTTCCTGCACCCCCAGGTCTCTCTGTTCTTTTACCCCCCCTTAAGATTGTATTATTATTTGCAAGTGAGAGACCTGAGTTCAATTCCAGGCAGGGCGAAACCTTGGGCAAGTTTCCTTACTCCACACGCCTAATAATAATCCCTCCAAACCAAAAACAATAATAAATTGGTCATTTTTCAATCTACGATAGTTTGTGGGACATTGCTGTGCGCAATTGGCTGCCGCGTTCGCCCACACATATATACAGTCAATTCACTTTACAGTGTGTTCTGTGAAGCGCTTTGGGACGTCCTCCCGACGTGAAAAGCGCTATATCAAATGCAAGGATTATTATTATTACCAGCCTGTATTGCCTCCCCTCATTCTTTCTACCAAAATGCATTACTTCGCATTTCTCTACATTGAAACTCATCTGCCATGTGTCTGCCCATTTTACCATTCTGTCTATGTCTTCCTGCAGTTGGCTCCTATCCTTCGGACTGTTTACCACCCTACCTAACTTTGTGTCATCCGCAAACTTGGAAATGGTACTTGCTATACCCAAGTCCAGATCATTTATGTGTATTAAGAAGAGCAGTGGTCCTAATACCGATCCCTGAGGGACGGCACTGTACACTTCCCTCCAGTCAGAAAAGCAGCCGTTCACCACAACTCCGTGCTTTCTGTCTCCCAGCCAGTTCTGGATCCATGCTGCCACTGTTCCTTTTATACCATGGGCTTCTATCTTTCTTACAAGTCTTTCATGTGGCACTTTATCAAATGCCTTTTTAAAGTCCATATAAACTACTTCAACTGCACTACCTTTATCCACCCTCTCTGTTACCCCATTGAAAAATTCCATTAGATTTGTTAGACAAGATTTGCCTTTAACAAATCCGTGCTGGCTGTCCCTAATTAACCCATATTCTTCTGTGATCACATCCTCTTGATTTGAAAGGTTCTTTACCAAATACAAGAATTATTTTATTACTATTATTTCTTGACAAGGATACAATTAGAATTGTTTTTACACATGCGGAACCATATTTATTACCACCCACGCAATGGAGCAGCACAGTGGCTGTTTTGATGCACTGTGATGTGTGCTAAAATTTTAATTTCTCTTGGAAATGAATTGTGAGCGTTTAGCGTAGTTCTAACCTTGCATATTTGTCAGCTACAACAGAAAAAATGGAACAAATGCCATATTCGTATTTAGTGATGAATATTTTACAATTTGGGATATTATGCAGCAATACAACACAACCCTTAGCTGGGTTATGTGTTTTGGCATTGAGCCCTGGAGTCCAGAAGCTCCCCCCTCCCCTGATTCACTTTTTGTTCAATGCTATTTTAGTTTTGCCAGCTTTGGTCCAGTGAGGCTGCTACATTTGTCCTCAGCGGTTTTTAAGGAGCAGGAAAATCATAGTCACCAAGGATCACTATTTCCTGTCCCCTGCTGAAAATGTAGGAGTGTGGATGGCAGGAAAGAACAGAATCAATCTCAGCTGTGGTTCTGAGCTCGATCAAATAGCCAACTGGCACTCACTCTGCAAGATCACACATAGAGAACCGTACCTCGGATAAGCTACTAAAGCACTGTTGTGTATGGAACCGAACTCCAGCACGAGATACTCCTTCAGGATATAAAGAAGGTAATTCAGAAATAATTTAAGATCCAAATATTTGGTTGTGATCTTAAAGTACTCCATCCACTTTATTTAAGTTCTCCACATAAAGCGCTCCGAGAGGCAGTCGGACGTGAAGGGCGCTCTATAAATGCAAGTTGTTGTTCTTGTTGTAAATACCAGGTTTGTGTCACACTGGGGCCCAATTTGCAATATTCAAAAACTGGATTTGTTGCATTCAATCCAACTTGTGTTTGGAAAATTTGTGCACAACAGATTGTGAATCCGAAATCAGCAAAGTCTGAGAAAAGACCGGAGGGAAAACCAACCATCTGTTTTTCTCATCGGCTTTTTTTTCCCCCCAGACTTTGCCAACAAACAATTTATGATTGGATGCCCATTAATTTAAGTATATATTTCACAAACCGGAGATTGCAAGTCAGAAACTGCAATTAATGCGTTGAATCTGGTTGATAAATATCATAAACCAGAGTCCCAATATCATTTCTTTTGCAAATATGTTAAATTGGATAAAACTGTTGCAGAGGATTACAAGGGTAATCGTAATCTTATTTGAGGGCAGAACAAACTATTTTGATACATATTTTGATATGTACAGCTGGTTTAATGCCATTTATATCCCATGATATTAGCATGTATCTTTCACATGGTGTATATATAGATGATGTTAATGTTAATTTTTATTTTTTAGGAACTGCATTTATTTCCTGAGAATCAAAATCTTTGCCATGGGCAAATGGTACACATTTGCAATTAAAGCATTTCATGACAACGAAAGGGTGTTGCACTAGTTCAATTACGTATTTTACATGCACTTCAGATATATTTCCACCGCATGTGTGAAATAACGTAAAGAGTGACTTACAGTTTTCTCTCTCACAACATTCAACAGGTGATCCACTCTCTGTCCTTGCACTTGCTCTATTTTATCAAGTTTCTGTCCTACCCACTCATGCTGGTATTGCATCTGTGCCCGTACCTCTTCCACCGCGGCAATAATTCTGGAAAACAGTTTAGTTTGTGGGACTGTAATTTATGCAATACAATGTGTATCACGTTAACGGAACAACTGTCCAAGAAAGAACTGATTTACAATCCCATCAATAGGTTGGTCATAGTTTTGAAGTAAAGTAGAGAAGTAAAGCAGATAAACTGATATTGTGGTTTCACAGTATTTCTTTGTTCAATTAGTTCTTCATTTATTCCTTTTGCTAAACATAGCTGTGGTAAATGGGATCTGGTCACTTCCAGCTGTAATAATACAGAAGTCACAGCCTTGTACTCTACAAGTCAACAGAATTAACTTATATAAAACTGGGGAAAATGGTAAAGCCATTTTTATTTTGACAAGAAATAACATTGCAAGTGTCTCTTGATATAACTTAAGCTGCTGCTTTGTACATGTATATATGGAAGTTTTCTTTATTCAGAGGGTTATTAACGACTGGAACAGGTTGGCAGGGAGGATAGTTCAGGACAGGGAGGCAAGGAATCTTCTTCATCCAAACCAATCTTGTGATCTTGTAATGATATTTAGCTTAGTATAACATTAACGTATTGATAAATCCCCCAACAATTTGAGTTCTCTACCTAACAATGTTCTATCACATTTAATGTAACTTCTTGTTCTGTCGTTCCCATTATCATTCTGAAAACTTTCAAAAACATCAAATGGATAATTCGTAATAATCAATGCTGCAATAAGTACATGGATTGTTAGCAATGGTGAAATATTAAACTGGATTTTGTACTGTCAGCCCCTACTGATCTCTCTGTTCCTACAAGTCCTGCTGAGTGATGAGCAAAGCTATTACTTGGAGTGCTTTGGACTACTGTGGGCCCATCTGATTAAGGAACAGGTTTTTAGCACCCACAGAAGGATGACTCAGTTCTGACATTCCATGGATGAAGTCCAAGAAGGAAGTGGTTTACGATCGCAATTTATAATAATAATCCTTGCATTTGATATAGCGTCTTCGAGACATCTCAAAGAGCTTCACAGTATATACTGTAAAGACAATTCATATTTTATGTATTATTATGTAAAGTCCTTACTTGAAATCCAAGAGTTGAAGTTCATGTTGTTGATCCCCTCTTGCAGTCTTTAATTTTGAATTGTATTCAGAATTAGAGCTTTCTATTTTGTCCATTAGTTTTACCAGCTGTTTTCAAATGAAGGAAACAGATGTTCATGTTTTAACTTCACATTTCTAAAAACATTATTTCCGACCAGCAATTGATGTAAAATTTGTATCCTTTATCTTTATTGTCATTTCACAAACAATAAGAAGAATATGGAAGTTCTGATTCCCAAAGCATAAATCAAACTCATTCTCACAGCTAGTGTCTTACACGTCAGGAGGATGTCACAAGAAGCTTCACACAACTGGCTGGGTCCCTAAGCTAAGGGTGATGTGGGTGGGGATGGTGGTTGGGGGTGGGGAGGAGTGGAAAAGAGAGGGGCTGAGAGGGGAACGAAAAGGCTGAAAGGATGGTCAAAGGGAGAGATCTTAAAGCAGGTTTTGAAAGTGGAGGAATGGAGAGGCCAGAGAGGACATTCTGCATAAAGCTTACCCATCGCAGACACTGTTGAGACACCCAATGAAAACTAGAAATGACAAAAAGCCAGAGAAAGGAACCATTTTATATGGGAAAAACTGAATACAGTGTTTATGATAAACTAGCTGTAGTACAATGTAAGGTACTTTGACATTCTTAATATCTGTTAATGACAGAAAATAATGGAATAGGGAAAATAAATTCTCAACAATATCTTCAAATTTGCCAATGCAGTAGGATCGGAGATGTCTGGTATAAATGGCAATCTTAGATACCAAGAAGTATTTATTTACACAAAGGCTAAACAAGAAGTGGAACAAATTATCTAAGGATAGGGCACCAAAGTAATTTAACAAATAGGTTGATGTTGTAATGGATGAATCCTCATCCACTAGTTTCCTGCGAACTGCTTTACATTTTGATGTATATCTATATCTTCTAAATTCATGTTGGCTGCTCTTTCCAGCAACTTTGCTCATCAGATGGAAAATGATAGCAACCTCCATAATGCCCTTAAGCATTTTTCTGACTCTGGATTCTAGACACAAGCTAGTCGTGTCTCGTTCTTGTCTTGAGAAGTTGGATACAGTTTGTAATACATAGGGGAACCCTGTTATAATCTGCTTTCAAATCCATAAGACCAAACATCTATTATAATAATAATAATAATAATCCTTGCATTTGATATAGCGCTTTTCACGTCGAGAGGACGTCCCAAAGCGCTTCACAGAACACACTGTAAAGTGAATTGACTGTACATTTGTGGGCGAACGCGGCAGCCAATTGCGCACAGCAATGTCCCACAAACAGTCGTAGATTGAAAATGACCAATTTATTTATTGTTTTTGGTTTTGGAGGGATTATTATTAGGCGTGTGGAGTAAGGAAACTTGCCCAAGGTTTCGCCCTGCCTGGAATTGAACTCAGGTCTCTCGCTTGCAAAGCGAGTGCTCTAACCACTGAGCTACAGGACTCCACAGTACTGTACATAGAAAGAATAATGGTACATGAAGCCAAAATTGCTCCAACAACATCACTTCCGGTGCGCTGCATATGTTCACAGCATGCAAGAAGCACGGGAGACACAGTTTTATTAATATATGGCCACCTCTGACAATGATTCCCGTGTGTTCATTGTGCACAGGAAGTTTAATTGATGCTGTTTCCTATGTTCCAAGCACACAGAAAATCTGGAAACTATGCTCATATGTTCGATGGATGATGTGTTATAACCAAGTTCATGTCATAGAGAGGTGAGTTATAAAAGGTCGTCCTTTAGTATCAGTTGATATGGAACTCCTAAAATAATAACTGAAGCCTAAATTATTTCCTGTGACATTTCCATTAACTTGCAAAGTTCCAAAAGTTTTAATTAATTCCATTTCAGTTCTCATTACTAAGATAGCGTTTTCTACACACCTTAATTTCCAATTCTTTCATTTTTAATTCCAAAGAAGACTTGACGACTTGAATTTCTTTCTTCACTTTCTGAGTGTCACTGTTGCTTACACTGACATCTCCAGCAAGTTTGGATATGCTGGCATCACACCTCATAAAAAAAAAGACTTAGAAGGTGTAAAGTGCATCACATAAGGTTTGTACAAAATGAATAAGAAATGGCTCTGATGTTCCTGGGAATTAAATTTCGTTTTAATTATATCCTATTCACATCAATGTTTCTTCAGTAAATATATATCCTGCCAATATGATGTTCACAAACCCCAAATTGCTATTTTTATTACAACTTCTAGTTTGCAACTTAAATTGTGGAATTCACTAAACAGGGATCAAATGGATACAATTGGAATTCCAAAGGCTGGCAAAGATTTTTTTTTCCAGCTAGCAGTTGGGTTTCCAATCTTTTGTTATACTTATTTAACAGTTGAGAAACAGATTGAATGCAAAACAACAACTTGCTTTTAATATTGTGCCCTTCACTCAGGGTAGCTCCTGGAGCCAGTCCTATCAGGCCAGTACTGCAATTTTTTCACAATGAATAGCTCATAAACTGTCATTTGTTATTAGCACAATGACTTCCAGTTTATGCATATCAGATTTTCAACCTCAAAGTTACAATGATTTAGAATAATTTAGTATGGGAATGGGTCATTCACTGAAACTTCAATCATACAATGGCCCCTGCAGATCTGCAATACCTGGGACCTGAGGCAGTTAGAAACAACTTATTTAAAACATTTTAATTGAAGAATACTCGCTCAAGCAGGCATGGGATTTGAACTTATCCAGTCTTGGTAATTTTACATTTGAACTAGACTGAGTTGGCGTTGGAGGCCATTTGGACACAGAATAAGAAATAGGGGAAAATGAGTCAAAATCACAAGAAATCTACAGCTAATTAAAGCCTTGGGCTCATTTGATCTCAACTTTTCAGAATCTCCACTCTACCACTTTCCCATCACAGCATCAAACTATGAGATCAGCTTCAACAACAATAATTTATATTTATATATAATTTACATTTATATATACACATTTATATGCCTTTCGGAGGATGTCTCAAAGTGTAACAGACCGGGATCCCGAGCTGGAAGGGGATTTTATTACCTCTCCCTTACACTGTGTACAATAGTATCAATGCTACATGATGCGGTACACATTTTGCAACAAATTAAACAGTAGAGGATCCAATATCACCATCGTATTCTCACAGCCTAGGTATATACTAGTTATATCATGGGCATTGTTGAGACAACAGCTTTTATTCTCCAGATGTCCTGCTTCTATTTAGCAATATCATCCATCCTTCCAAATCATTTCAATTTGGGATTTTTGGCAGTTTCAAAATATTTGTATGACATAAACAGCAAGTCATTAACACTGGGTATGAATACAGATGATTACAGACAGTTGACCAAGCACCAACCACACACACACACACGCAGAATAATGTTTAAGATTTATTTATGTAAAATCTGTCTAAAATCTACAGCAATGTGAGGTGGTTAGGAGGCTTTATTATTATTAATAATAACACTCATATAATAATCCTTACATTGATCTAATGCCTTATTATGCTGTCGAAACATCTCAAAATGCTTCACAGGATTTTAATGTAAAGTTTAGTGACTGTATGTGAAAGCTACGGACAATTTGCACACAGAATGTCTCACAAAAAGTCATGAAGAAAAAATAATTTTATCTTAGGGATAAAATTTACAATTTAGATCATGAGATCTTTGTCACCAACCTGAACAGGCATACAGTTTAACATTTCATCCAAAGAACTGAACCTCTGACAGTGCAACACACTTCCAGCACCAGCACTCTATCGGAGTGGCAGCTTGGAATGTGAGTTCAAAGTCCCTGTGTGTGTGGGGCATGAGCTTACAACTTTCTGAATCAGAAGCAAGAGTGCTACCAAGTGAGCCAGGCTGACACCAGAATACTTTTTAACTGAGCAGGGCATTGCTTGTCATTGTCAATCATTCTGAATCTAATACCTGGCAACCCTTCCCCGCAGGTCTCCAATTCCAGCCAGGTGCTTAAGGTCGAGGCTCTGCACAGCAAAGCTGGTCCCTGCAGCCACACCATCCCGGACTCGGACCTGCCCTTCCAGAACCTAGGAGAACATCATTTCTCATTCAACTGTTCTGTGTTAATACATTCAATAGGGGTGTGATTGGGGGTCATATCATACCCGTAAGGATTGTCAGTGTGTGGATTTTTCCACTTTTGCATCCAATATCCATGTCATATATTTCAGATTCAGTATTCCTTTTGCAATCTGGTATCTGACATACTCAAAACCCCACCCCCATTCTTAAGAGCATCTGAATCAGGCTGGGAATTCCACGTATGTATCCCGGCTACACATGAGAATTTCCTTGTGGAATGAGTTCTCTGTGCTGGGAGGAACACACCCTGCTTGCGTAATTCAGGAAAGCATTGGGTGCAGGTTGGTAAAAACCAAGACTTAAGAACCCCAGAGTGCAGTTTGGAATATTGCTGGAGTTTAATGAGCTAAAATCCATATTTTGCCATTCCAAATACTGTCTGGCAATCTTCCAGCTGCTTGTGTAACTAGGACTACTATTAAAGCTTTAAACCTGGTTAACAGGTGCCGAGTGGGAAGAATCCCTGATCCCGTTGACTAATCTGCTCCTTCCCAAGTGCTGCTAATCAACCAGTCATCAGGAATGCCTTGGAGTACTCTGGACCCGGCTGGTTTGGGAATTGGCCTCTTCAGACCGCCACAGAGTTTCAACTCAACTTTGACATTTGGTAGCCAAGCACATCATTGGAAGCCAAGCATTGAAACCAGCTTAGCCTCCAAGGAGACCCCGCTTACCATTTCCTTCTCCTAGGTGGGGCATAATCACAAGTTGTCATTGACATCTGACAAGAGCAGGTTTGAGAGATAACCAATACCAGGAACTCTCTACAAACCTCTTGGTGAGCAGCAAAACTCTGCATTGATTGTGTAAAAGCATTGAACGCCATCCTCCTGCCCATGTGTTCGGACACACATTCCTACCCACTCCACCAGCTGGAAATGACCACAGCCACTTACCTCTCCCCAACCAGATTCTGTGATAACTGCAGCAGTAGCTGCCTCTGCTCAAAAGGACACTCCCTTCACTGCATTGCAATGACATTTACCACAGCAGGTTTGGTGGTAAGTCCTGCCCTTGGACTGTTGGGCTTGTTGCAATAACTAGGTCAGATAGTCAAACCTGTTCATGCAACCACCTCCATTCAGCAACTACCCTGAAACAGAACATACAGCCCGGTTTGCACACAAACAAACCCTTATTCAGAGGCCACCCTTGTATAAAGGTTCTTTGGCCCAAGTGATTGTTGAAGACAGGTTTGACTGTATGTGTTTGGGTGTATGTGTCCAGGTTACATAAGCCAATCCAATACTAGGTGGTCTGATATCTTCTAAAACTTGGCATATGGCTGAATATGGCCGACACAAATGAGTCAGCATTGTTCAATGGGCTTGTTCATACAACCTCTATAACTATAACCAGGCATTAATCTCCCAGCAGTAATTGGTCCATTACCTCTATATCAGTGCTCAGTTGTTTGAGTATCCCAGTTATAATTTGGATATGCTTCTCTAGCAATTGTTGAGACACTCCCACCACTGTTTGGTTGTTTTGTTTTCCTTTCAAACTGGCAATAATGTCCTCTTTTATCCGAAATGCCTGCTCGAGAAGTGTTGCTGTTGTCCGTTCCTGATTGGATAGACGATCATCAATGATTTGCAGATGGTTTTTAGATGCCATGGGAATATGAAGGAACGATTGGTTTCTAAACGATCAGAATAAAAGGGAGATAGATTAAATTGGTTCTGCTTTATCTCTTAGCATGTAGAACACTGTCATTTAAATGGAGCACAGTCTTTATTAGAAATAAACATAAATCAAGTAAAAACATCATTAAGTTGCTTGTGCATGATATCATTAGCACAAAATGATTGGCATTTTTGGGTCCTTCCCACTATAAGCTCACAGCAAGCTTTCGTTTTGTATAAACACAAAAGTCGCTGGGAGCACACCTTAGGTCATGCTTTTGTTTTGGTCAGCCAGGTGTGTGACACCCGTGGGACCTCATGACGGTAAGAGTATCCAAACCAAACTGAGAGCTCCATGCATGTCACCTACACATGGAAATTCCCGTGTTTGGAATGGAATGTGCATTCTCTCCCCAGAAGGACACATTCTGCTTATTTAATTCTAGACAGTATTAAGTTGAGGCTGGCAAGAGCTAAAACTCAGAAACCCATTTATAAAGATTTGGCCAAAAATTTCTCAGGTTTTTTGCCAATTGTCTTAAAACTTAGTATCGCTCAGAATTTTGGAAAATTCTTAAATTCTGTGTTGATTTTTCACAGTATATTATGTTTGTTTACAGAATATTTCCTGTGGTAGTTGTTCTCCCTCCCCCCCAATTTGTTATAGGAATCTAGTATCACTTCAGTTTGATCTTTCATTGCAGTGCATTGTCTCTCACTTACCTCTCTGGCATTTGAACCTGCAGCATATTTTCTCCAGACATTTTCTTTTAAAACTCCAAAGCTTTGCAATAAAAATGTGCATGTATATTGTAGCCTTCACTCAGTATAGAGTCTCGGAGCACTGCTTTATTTTATTATCTCTCTACAGGATGAAAAGACAGAGAATTGTTCTGCTTGATATAAAAGAAACATTTTAAACAATATTAGTTGCTTTAGATTCCTCCTCTCATTCATTAGAATCACAGGAAATTAATGGAAGAAAATTTTGCATTAGATTGCCGTGTTCCAGTTCCTTAAAGCAAACAACAGTGTTACGAAAGCAGGCAGAATAATTGTCTTAAAGTAAGTACTCCAACATATTCAGACGCTCATGCAACTGTGCTCAGATATAACAGTTCTTTCAATGAATCGGATTCTTACAAAAGTCATTTCAGGAGGTAACACATCTTTACATGAGGCATTGTGCAGTTTGTAAACTTTTATAAATCCCTGATGACTCATTCAGTAAAGGTACTGTCCAGCAAGGAACTCACTAATACAACCCCACTGGCCTTAATACACAAAGGCAGATAGGAGGAGAATTAGTTAAGGTTTGATCTTTGTGGTTAATAATAATCATTGAATGTAATATAGTGACTATAACGAGAAAACATTTTAAAGTGCTTCTTTGTCTTAATATTGTCAGGTGACTGTGTATAGTCTGTTGGCAAATGCCAAAGACATTTTGCACACAGCAATGTATCATAAACAGGTATGAAAGTGAATATCAATTTTGGAGGGTTGCTGGCCAGGACATTGGGAGAAGCTACCTTCTCTTTTCGAATAGTGCCGTGGGATCTTTAACATCTATCTGTCTTGGCAGACCTTGCTTTAATATCTCGTCCATAAGATTACACTTCACTTAATGCAGCAGGCTCAGTCATTCTGGACTTTGAGCTCAGAGTGCAAATGGGGAATTAAATCCACAACTTTCCAATCCACTGTTGAAAGTGCTACCAAACTGAAATAAAATAACAGCTATTCAACCTACCTTAAAAATCAATCAGACTATCATTACCAGAGTGACACTTTCCTACACGGTGAGCTTAAAGGAAAGGTTGCTTGCTCTGTGTGACAGATGATTTAACAATCTATTGGACAGAAACATGGCATTCTTTACAGGGAAATTGTATTGATTGCAATAAAAACCTGGAAAGAAACAACGTTATCATTAAAACCTTAAGGTAGGTTGACACAAAAAAAATCAAAAAAGATTTGGTCTGGGTAAATAATGGGCATTTCCGATTGTACATGGAAAAACAATTATTTTTAACTATCAGCAAAAGACTTTGTAACTGGGCTCGTCTGTTTCCTGGACTGGCCGGCAAAGCCCTTCCATACGGCTGTAAACACAACAACTCTGCTTAACAGCAGCAGAGAACAAAAATAACACGCAAACCTACCGTTCGTTGCATTAAATCACATCGGTTAGAGTCGGAACATGCTGTATAACCAACCGCAAACGCGAGTTGTACTGAGACCTACCTATAAACTGTGGCAAATTCCCACAATTTCCAGAACAGCAGCAAGTCTGAGAGTGTTTTTGTTTACTGCTGTTTCCAAGTTACTGCAGTGAACCACCACAGGCAGGAGTGGAGTGGTTGCTATTTAGTTGCTGAATCGGCCTCCAACCTGCACCCAAAAATATTTAACAGATGAAGGTCTGATCCGAGTCGGATTTAACTTGAAATGAACAAGAATCAGTTCATTGTCAGTATCAGTTTGTTACTCCGAGAGCATTGATTTTTGCAGAGAAAATCTCACTCAAAGATCACAACAAAAGATTGGGGTGAAGAAAGCCAATCCTGCCCATTTGTTCTCAAACTTCCAGAGTACCATCCCATGGGTCCTAGATCCATAGTCACTGCTATCGTTTGTAAACCGGTATCTTTAATCTGAATAATTCCTTCAGGCAGAGATGACAAGTTAAAATAAACTCTCAGAAACAAATTAGGGATAAGTCCAGATACAGTGGGTGAATTGGCCCTGACATAAGAAATATGTTTAGACTCGGATGCGGGATTCATTTCAAATACAGTGTGATGCTGGGACTTGGTTCGATTCCCAGTCAGGATGATACTATAGCCAAGTTTCCTTATTCAGCACACCTCTGTTTATTTAGCAGTAAGTAGGCACCCAGTTGTTAGTTGATTGGCTTTCCGGAAGTAATAATCCCTCCAAAACAAAATTTGATCATGCAATCCACAACTGTTTGCATGCAATTGACAACTGTATTTCGCCCACAAAATATAGAAATATTCCACTTTACAATACATTTGTGAAGTGCTTTTAGACATCTCAACAACGTAATAAGAAGCTATTATTATTATTATTATTTATTATTATTATTATGAGAGGACTCCAGCATGAGTATTCTGGAAGGGTGAGATCAAATGGACCAAAGGGTCTTCTTCATCCAAACTGATCTTGTGATCTAGCAGTTCTGTGATGAGATCAGCGGTCTCCTTCAGCATCATAAGTTTCTTCATAGAAATCTTCAGTTTCACCCACGAAATATATAGTCAATTCACTCTGTGAAGCATTTTGGGATGTCATGACGATATGATAAGGTGCTATATCAAATGCAAGGATTATTATTATTATTTATTATTATTATTATAAAGTAATTCCTTTCCTATTGAATGCCAGATTTTTGAAAAGTGTAACAACACAGAAGAAGACCATTGATCCTACCCTGTCTGTCCAATGCTTATTCCTCAGCTGAAGTTTTACAAAATATTTTACAAAGGTGTGGTTCATAACAAATACCTCAATTATCACTGGTGTTGTGAACAAGTAATCTGCCTGTCTGAATCTGCTTGATTTATGCTGGATTTTCACAGCATCTTGCCATGATTTTCACAGTAATTTGCTGCAAAAAGCAAAGAATGAATCATAGTTGATCAGTGTGATTCAGAAATAATTCCACTGAAGCCTGCTTGTCAAGATCAACATGAGGAGTGATTCCTGAGGCTTTGAGAAGGGCAAACGTAATACTATTTATAAGAAATTGCAGGGCTGACCTAGGAGTCTGACATCCATTATAAGTAAATTGTTAGAGGAATACTGAAAGAGCAGTAATGGAACACCTAATTAGATTTAGGATGACAAGAAATAATAATAATAATAATAATCCTTGCATTTGATATAGCGCTTTTCACGTCGGGAGGACGTCCCAAAGCGCTTCACAGAACACACTGTAAAGTGAATTGACTGTATATTTGTGGGCAAACGCGGCAGCCAATTGCACACAGCAATATCCCACAAACAGTCGTAGATTGAAAATGACCAATTTATTATTATTTTTGGTTTTGCAGGGATTATTATTAGGCTCTGTGTGGAGTAAGGAAACTTGCCCAAGGTTTCGCCCTCTGCCTGGAATTGAACTCAGGTCTCTCGCTTGCAAAGCGAGTGCTCTAACCACTGAGCTACAGGACCCCCCCATGGCTTTATGATGGAAAATTGTGCTTGATAAATGGAGTATGATGAGGATATAACATAATTCTAGGACTTAAAGAGTAACTCAATGGACATTTTATTTTGCATTTTCACAAGGCCTTTGACAAAGTGCAGCAAAAGAGGTTGCTTCACTTGTGTTTAATGGAAATATTATTATTATTATATCTTGCCCCCAGCACTCATTCTTTTTAGAAAACAGCTACATTACAAATCTTTCTACTTATTGTGCTGCCTGTAATTCATTCAAAATAGTATTGGTAACAGGTTAGCTTCCTCCTGAAAGACCCCAAAGGGGTCAAATCTTTTTTCTCATTCTCTTACCCATCCACTTACCTCCTGGATTTATATAATAAAGATTCACCTGAGAAGAGAAAAGGTGAATTTTATTCATTGTATTTATTTTCAAGATGGTATTTATTTTGTTTCTCGGTAAATATTTTTTGTTCTGCTTTTCAAGCAACAAATAAGTCCCCTTCAGATGTATGGAGTTGCTGTTATCTACATATCCTCTCCCTTACTAAGTTAGCCCAAAGACTCTTGCTTAGGTAGGCACCAGGGATGGATATATGAGTGTGTGATATATGAGACGCCAGATAATGCCTGCCTTCCGGGTCTTGTCATCCCAAGCCAAAACGCTTCCTTATCCACTATTTGATGGATAGCCATTGTCGCCCACCAAACAGTCAATTCTTTTTAGTGTATTCTGTGAAGCGCTTTGAGATGTCTTGAAGACATAATAAAGTGCTATATCAAATGCAAGGATTATTATTATATATTATTCAGCGTGGTGAATGCACACTGTGCTTAGAAATTGAGCTGAAATGGATGTTGGAAGATGATCTCAACCTTTGCAACTTCTTTGTAGCTGTTTTTTTTAAAAAAAGAATGAACGCTGGGGGCAGGATATAAGAATGATATCTCCTAAAACGATCATGAATACAAATAAATGAGAGCCTTCAATCTGAAATAATTACATCCAGAATCAGTACTTCCCCTGGGATCACAAGTTCAGGCCATAATTTCCCTTCTGCTGTGATAGTCACAACAGGGAATTCATTTACTGCAAAAACATTACCCTCATAATGTAAACAAACCGCAATCTGTCCACTTCGCCAACTGATACAATCCCCCATCCTCTCCTCCCTTTAACTCATTACCAGTAAACGTGTTAGTTTTCAGGAATTCTCAGCAGCAACAAGATACGCACACAGGGGATTTCTTCTGTTTTTTTCCCAGTGACTGTGTCTGTCTGTCTGTGTGTGTGTCTGTCTGTCTGTCTGGGAGGGAAAGATAACACGGGGTGTAGATCAATCACACACAACCTTTCTGAACCGATGATCCTCACTCGGGCTGCTGTGTTGTGGTGGTGTAGCTCCTGTGTGTGTGTGTGTCTGTGCATATGTTACAAACGGGACAACTTTATGGCGAGTGAGGAGGGTTAATGGGATGGGATCGGGACCGTTCGTGACCACACCAGTTGCTCGCAATAACTCAAGACATTGTTTGGAAGGAAATTAATACCAGACTTCCGCTCCAACGAGAGAGGCTACAGCTTTCGGGGGGTGAAGAGAGAGAGAGAGACTTGTAGTTCCTGATCGCAAGAGCTGAGAGCAACAGCGCAACTTTAGCTCTGTGTGTGTGTGTGTGTGTGGGGGGGGGTTAGTGGTGTGTGTGTGGTGGGGGGGTGTTAGTGGTGGGTGTGTGTGTGGGGGGGGGTGTTAGTGGTGTGGGGGGGTGTTAGTGGTGTGTGTGTGTGGGGGGGGGGGTTGTTAGTGGTGTGGGGGGGGTGTTAGTGGTGTGTGTGTGTGTGGGGGGGGGGTTGTTAGTGGTGTGTGGGGGGGGGGTTAGTGGTGGTGTGTGTGTGGGGGGTTGTTAGTGGTGTGGGGGGGGGTGTTAGTGGTGTGTGTGTGGGGGGGGGGGTTGTTAGTGGTGTGTGGGGGGGGTGTTAGTGGTGTGTGTGTGGGGGGGGTTGTTAGTGGTGGGGGGGGGTGTTAGTGGTGTGTGTGTGTGTGGGGGGGGTTGTTAGTGGTGTGGGGGGGGGGTTAGTGGTGTGTGTGTGGGGGGGTGTTAGTGGTGTGTGTGTGTGTGGGGGGGGGTGTTAGTGGTGTGTGTGTGTGTGGGGGGGGGGTGTTAGTGGTGTGTGTGTGTGGGGGGGGGGTTGTTAGTGGTGTGTGTGTGTGGGGGGGGTGTTAGTGGTGGGGGGGGTGTTAGTGGTGTGGGGGGGGGTGTTAGTGGTGTGTGTGTGGGGGGGGGTGTTAGTGGTGTGGGGGGGGTAGTGGTGTGTGTGTGGGGGGGGGTGTTAGTGGTGTGTGTGGTGGGGGGGGGTGTTAGTGGTGTGTGTGTGTGGGGGGGGTGGTGTGTGTGGGGGGGTGTTAGTGGTGTGTGTGTGTGGGGGGGGGGTGGTGTGTGTGGGGGGGGTGTTAGTGGTGTGTGTGTGTGTGTGTGGGGGGGGTGTTGATCGAGGGCATTGGCAGTCTGACAGTCAGGGCTCTCCCTCTGTGGCTCTGTGCAAACTAACTGTGTTCCTCTCAGACACACAGACTGCGGCAGGAGGCAAGGAGGCAGTGCAGGGCAGGGGCAGGGGAGGGCAAGGGCAGGGGAGGGCAAGGCAGGGCAAGTGCAAGGCAGTGCAGGGCAGGGCAAGGCAGTGCAGGGCAGGGCAAGGCAGGGAGGCAAGGCAGGGCAAGGGCAAGGCAGTGCAGGGCAAGGCAGTGCAAGGGCAAGGGCAAGGCAGGGAGGCAAGGCAGGGCAAGGGCAAGGCAGTGCAGTGCAGGGCAAGGGCAGGGGCAGGGCAAGGCAGGGCAGTATGGAGGAGACCCCCCCAGGCCAGGATGATCGCCGGCAAGAACCCCACTCCCTGCAGTCCCGCCTGTGGAGGCATTTCCACAAACCCAGACCTCTGCTCCTGGGCTCCAAATCGGGATCGGATGGGAAGGGCGACAGCAGGAGAGCGGCGGCGGCGGCGGCGGCGGCGGCGGGCGGGCAGACGGGCTTCAGGATGAAGCGCCGGCGGGTGCTGGACCGCGTCTTCTCGTCCTCTCAGCCCAACCTGTGCTGCTCGGGTCCGGCCACCGCCGGGGGCTCCGGGGGGGTGAGGCTGGAACAGGTCACCCCCCACCCACCCGCACCCCCGGCGGCGGCGGCGGCGGCGGCGACCCACGGCCATCCCCGGGCACAGGGCGATGCTCCCCCCCTCCGCCTCGGGTCCGCGGTCGCACACCACAAGAGCTCCTCCCTGGGCACCGCGGAGTTCCTGGAGAGGGTCCCGGACCCGGTCGAGGGGGAGGCGGAGGGACCCCGGGGTCCGCCCCGCTCGGCTGCCTCTGTGAGTAACGCTCTGCCGCGCGGCGCCCGTTACCGGGAGAGCGCTCCTGTCACCTCTCGTCCCCCCGCACTCCCCGCACTGCCCCCTCGTGCGATGCCGAAGCCCCGGGGCCGCCGGACACCGCGGCCCATCCCTCACACCTCCCTGGAAAAAAAGGGGTGTTGGGGTGGGGGGGGGGGTGTGTGGGGTGGGGGTGTTGGGGGTGATGTGGGGTTGTGTTGGGGGGGTGGGGGGGGGTTGTGTGGGGGTGGGGGTGTTGGGGGTGATGTGGGGGTTGTGTTGGGGGGTGGTGGGGGGGGTGGGGTGGGGGGGTTGGGTGTTGGGGGGTGGTGTGGGGGGTGGGGGTGTTGTGTTGTGGGGGGGTGTTGGGGGGTGGGGGGGGGTTGTGTGGGGGTTGTGTTGGGGGAGTGTGTGTTGGGGGTGGGGGGGTGTTGTGTTGTGGGGAGTGTTGTGTTGTGGGGGGTGTTGTTGTGGGGGGTGTTGGGGGGGGTGGGGGGTTGTGTGGGTGGTGTGGGGGTTGTGTTGGGGGGTGTGTTGGGGAGTGTGTGTTGGGGGGTGTGGGGGGTTTGTGGGGTTGTGTTGGGGGGTGGGGGGGGGGGGTGGTGGGGGGGTGGAGGTGTTGTGTTGTGGGGGGGTGTTGGGGGGGTGGGGGGTTGTGTGGGTGGTGTGGGGGTTGTGTTATGGGGGGTTGTGTTGGGGAGTGTGTGTTGGGGGGTGTGGGGTTGTGTTGTGGGGGTGTGGGGGGTTGTGTTGTTGGGGGGTGGGGGTTGTGTTGTGAGGGGGTGTTGGGGGGTGGGGGGTTGTGTTGTGGGGGTTGTTGGGGGGGGGGGGGTTGTGTGGGGTGGTGTGGGGGTTGTGTTGTGGGGGATGTTGGGGGGTGGGGGGGTTGTGTGGGGTGGTGTGGGGGTTGTGTGTGGGGGGTTGTGTTGGGGGTGTGTGTTGGGGGGTGGTGGGGTGGGGGGGGGGTTGTGTTGTGGGGGGTGTTGGGGGGGGGGGGGGGTGTTGTGGGGGTTGTTGGGGGTGTGTGGGGGGTGTTGTGTTGTGGTTGGGGGCTGTGTGTTGGGGGGGTGGGGTGTTGTGTTGGGGGGGTTGGGGGGTGGGGGGGTTGTGGGTGTTGGGGGGGTGGGGGTGTAGTACAATCTGCAGGCTTCTGGCTTTGGGTGGGTAACACCTGCCACTTTTCTCTCTTTCTGGCCAAAGGCATCTATCTATTCGCAAAGCAGTTGGCAGCCGCGATGCCACCTGCCTGGCAGCCAACCTGGAGTTCACGTGGAGTGGAAGTGAAGTGAAGTAGCACGACAGGTTACTTCAGATTGAATTTTTTTTTAGGGTAAAACAATAATTATTTTGGTCACTCACTCAGTCCACGACCGTTTGTGGGACGCTGCTGCGCGCAATTGGCTGCCGCGTCGTCCCCCCCAAAAAAATAATACAGTCAATACCCTTGACAGACGTCTCAGAGATGTGATGAGGCACTATATCAAATGCAAGGATTATTATAACTTACATCAGTGTGCTGAAAAATACTGGCTGTCATTTTCAGTGTGTACCGTCAGTAAACTGTTGCTACCGACTTAAGGTGTTAAAAAACTCTCTTGCGCACTTGTTTCAAACCCAGACATGCTGCAGTTAGTCAGTGTCTGTAAGCTGCGGTGCAGGGAAATGGTAAGGACCCACACTTGCACGTAGGTCCTGCAGCAAACTATAAAGCAAGGGATGGATAAAAGCGCTGGAGGCTGGCGCTTCCATATGCCTCGGACCTTAGCTACAATCATGGATGATAGTTTCCATTACTGAGTGCCAGCTGACAGCAATAACTTTGCAGTTTGTGTCGATGTAATGCAGGCAGCAGTTTTCAGCAAGGTACCTCCACAATTCTGTGAGAGGATTTCTACCGCAGCTGAAAAAGCCATTTCGCCCACAAAATATACACTCCATTCACTTTACAGTACATTCTGTGAAGCGCTTTGAGATGTTTCAATAACGTGATAAGGTTATATCAAATTCAGGGATTATTATATTATTTAAAAGAAAAGTGATTGCACCATTTCTGTTTATTCGGTGGTGCAAAGAGTGAAAAATGTCCCGCCGCACAAAGTGTTCCATTAATCCTACTCAACGATACTTTTAATTCTTATTTATAATGACATTTGCTTTTGTCACAGCACTTGTCGAACAGATTGCTGCTCGTGCAAAATTAATATAGATTGCGGACTGGCTGCTGTTTGCTGAGCATTTATTACTTGAGACATGTCGATCTACATTCCTCAAACAATGGATTATTTGAAATGTAAGTGCAGAAATGAATGACCAATTCATCAGTTGGATTTGGACGTGGGTGAAATATTATTAATCAGGACAGCAAGAGAAATGTCTGCACCAAAAATTGTTGCAGAATAATTACTGTGCCTGATGATGAGGAGAAACAACAAGACGCAATGTAGCATCCCTGAAAAAAATTATGCATCTTGTGCATTTTCCCAAATTTGTTACTTATTCCCTCTTGTATGAAGAATCCACTGCAACACTTACTATTTTTTCTTCCTGTATGGGTGTCTTGTTGAGGAGGAATGCTCAGTAACCAGTTGTTGAGAAGGAGCCTTCAGTGGTTGCCCTCTAATATTTGCTTGCTCCCTGAGAGAGGTTCCTGGCTACTTGTCAACATCATCTCAAGGCCACACAGTTTGAGATAGAGAACCTGCCACATGGTGAATCACGAATAACAGCACAATCTCAAAAGCCGCAGTGGAAACGCTCTTGGAGTTATTAATAAGGCAATGGAGTCTTTGGGCAGAGGTTGGAGTCAATCATATCTGTATTTTTACTTATTTTTCATGGGATTTCCCCCTTTGGCTTAATCTTATAATTATTTGAAAAACATCTAGTAGATAGTGTTAATCACTTAGGTGCCTTCAGGATACTGTACAGATAAATACATACTGCTAAGGTATCAAATATAAACTACAGTATACCCACTTTATTGAGTGGTTTACATGCTTCCTGCAAAATCACGTGGACGATAGACTACATTGAATTTTCAATTTTGATTTAAAATATAGTTTTTGTGTATATCAAATACAAGTATTATTATTATTATGGTATTATTATTATTGATTTTAGTGCACATTATCCTGTACTTCTAATCGACCAGTTGTGCTGCACAGTTTATATCAATTCTATGTGAGTTTTGAATTGAACTGGTGCAGGTTCAGCAGTTACAGCTGCAACTGCAATTAGAGAAGCGAGATGATCTCACAACTATTCGGCTTCACGCTACGTAAACCATCCTGTATGTTAGTAAAAAGCCATCAGGACCACCACCCCAGGCTTTTAGTAATATTAAAAATGAACTGGCCTGTGAATGCCACTTATGGGTGCACCTGTGTGCAGATACATGTTAATGTGTAGGTGCACTACAGTCCTTCCCATTTACTTCAAACACGTTTATGTCGGCATCCTGCTTATGACAATAAAGCAGTGAAGTCCAAGTCACTTCTCCGTACATTTATACTAAAAATGTACTATTTATGTTGAGGTCAACATAAACTCCAGCTCACTTATGTCAACAAATTGTTTAGGTCACTAACAGTATTAAAGGGTTAAAGGCATTGTTATATTACAGCTTATGTCAACAGTGAACTCTTAAATGATTATTTTTGACTTACGTGACTATCTTTTGTAAAAACGTTAACAACATTTTTGTAAATAAGGTAACAAGAATAGGTGTAAGTAAATGGTTTAGAAATTTTAATTAAATGTATGACCCTTTTCTTGAATAAATCCATGAAAATATATGCAGATACCATGTTACAGAAATTTTAATGACAGAATATCTATCGCCCGTCCGTGATCGCCTTGTCGACAAACCACCTATGTCAACAAAACCCGAGTGGTCCCTGATAGGTCGACATAAGTGGGGAGGACTGTATAAGAAATTCCCTTCAATTTCACTCATCTCTGGGAGAGCATGAGGCTCATTCCATGCAGGCAGCCAGCTTACAGCATTATACTAAGGGCAACATGTCAAACCAACGACTGTAGCATTACTGCGATATAAGTGTGGCTGAGCACGCTCTCTGAATATTGATGATTTTGCTTTGCTGGATTAACAGCACTTTTTCATTTCCAATTCGATACGCATGATCTCTATGCATCTACCTGTCCCAATAAGTGCAGCATTTTAAACTCTCCTACTTAGTGTTGCATCATTGTTTTCTAAAAGTTACTGCCACATGATCTTTCCAGAAACTTAAATAATAATAGTAAAACAAACCTACGAAAAAAATTGCCCACCCGTTACTACTACTCCATATGTGCACCAGCTAGTGCACTTTCCTAGTCATCTTCAAAAAATTCTTGTCCATTGAATCAAGTTGTTCTGTCTTCTTTCCCGGAATTAAACAGTTATTTAAATAACATGAAACAAAGTCAATATGGAATAAATATAACAATATAAACAATATGGAATAAACATAAACTTATATCAAAGATCTGCAAGCATTATGGGAGGAAAATGAAGATCAAATAAATAATAAGGTAACAATAGATGGAAATCAATAGAAAAATAACATATCAGGAATATAATAATATAATCCCTGTATTTGACATAGCGCCTATAATGTTGAGAACATCTTGGAGTGATTCGCAGAGATTTTCTGTGACTTGTAGTGTACATGGAGGTGAAATAAATAATAATAATAACAATAAAGGAAATAAACAACAAAGGAAAGCTAAAGGATGAATACGGAAAAAAGATAAACTGCATAAGTAGAAAAAGAACAAGTGTGATTGTAAAATTAAATTAGAGATACTTATTGTCAAGGTTGTGTTGACCCTAATAAGGATTGACAGGCAGGTTGTTATATCTCCATCGGTAGTTCTGATAAAGTGTCATCCAATAGGAACTGGGAATAAAACAACCCATACAAAAATAAAGGGAACGTAGCTGAAGCCTGTCCTGACCTTTTACTTACCTTATTTCCAAGAGAGCTCCGTTCTAT